TAGGAATCCTCTTCCGCTTACGGCATTTTGTGCCTAGAAATATCCTAGTGTTGTTGTATAAAACCTTTATTCAACCTCATATATCATACGGAATTGAAGTGTGGGGGAGCACTTACAAGTCTCACTTAAATTGCATACTGTATACACAGAAGATGGCCATACGGACAATCACATTTAGCCATTTTATGAGTCGTTCAGCACCATTGTTTTACGAATTGAAAATCTTAGATATTAACAAGTTCTATGAGTTGTCTCTATGTACATTTATGTATGACCTAGTACATAATAATTTACCTCACTGTTTGACGGATTATTGTGATAAAATTGAGCATAGATACAATACAAGAAAAAGAGAAAAGGGCCATCTACGTATACCACTGTATAAAACAACACAAGGCAAATTTTCAGTAACTTGTGTAGGAACCCGATTATGGAATGAACTTCCCGATGAAATCAAAAACAAAGGGTCTAGAAACACTTTTCGTAAACATCTCAACGATTACTTGATGAATAAGTGATTGAATTATGCAAGTACACATGTATATATTGTAAATAATCTCCATATTACATTTTTGTTGTTTTTTTTTGTCAAAAAAATGCAATTTTTTGTATAAATAATCTGTAGATACATGTATCTATGACTTTTTAACCTGGTATATCCTCTTCATAATTATATTTGGAGTGTAGAAATTGTGCTACGGTATTACTCAACATGTATACTTCTACTGTCAAGTTTTATTTTTTGATAATGATATATTTATTTTTGCCAAGTGTGTGCTAAGAACAGGGGCCAGACTCGACTAGCACATGTGCTATTATTTGGCTCCTTTTCATCACCTTCTATATTCTATGAGAAAAGACATATGTCTAGCATATCAATACTTTGTTAGGTTTTTCTTTAATATGATCTATAATATTCATTTATGAACATGTACCATTCACGATGTATTCAAATGTTTAATCACTGATGTTATTGATGATGAATAAATAAAATCAAATCAAATCAAATCAAATCAAATACGTCTTGTACATGGACTGTCATTGAAAAGGATAGAATGCATATATTGTCAAGCATAACAATCATCTTTAATCTGGGGTAAAATTTAGTTCTTCCTTTTACTTTCATTTACTTTAACATGGAAAGCCTACGTACCATAAAAACAAAAATAACTATACACACTTAGAAATAAAAGTACAATTCTGCTACAATAGCAGCAGCCTCTGCAAAATACGCGTATAATTATGCGGATGCAAATCTGCTCCCAATTGCACCCTTATTTCTTAGTGTTTAAATATTTGTTAAAGCTGTAAGTCTTCTGGGGGAGAAATATACCACACTGTATATACTGATTATTAAGGTTATATTCCTATGAGACGTAGACTTGATTTCAAGCCTTAAAGGTAATACAAAGTTTTGGGAAATTTTGAAAATTGGGTGGATAGTGATTCTTTACAATTTTGATATATTTGGATGCCCCTGTGGATGTATCATAAGCACTAGAAAATTTAGCCCCTAAAACACTTCTGCTTTCGAGAAAAATTGAAAAATAAAATTTCAAATAGCGCCTACGGCCGTACAGTGGTAGCTGCGACCATGAACACCTCGGAATATGTAGTTGTGATATATAATTTCCAAACGGAAATAGCTAATCGGTCAATTTTAGTCAAGAAACATTGTTTTATGGCTTAATTAATATCTTGACCTTGAGAGGGAGCTACACAACATAAAGAGTTTATTATTTACAATTTCATAACTTTAGACTCGATTTCAACCGCGACAACGATCAATGAATATTGTAGGATCGCATATGCTTCCAATATGTTCATTTTAACCAAATTCATGACACCATACCAAAACTTTGTATTACCTTTAAAAATAATCTTAACTTCAAGTAAGCTGACATTAGCAATGTTTACTTTACTCGCCCGACTTGAGCTGACGTCATCAGATGGCGCTCGCAAACCTATCATCCATCCCTGCCTTCACTATTCGAGTAAACAAGTAAACGACCACGATAGATCATTTTCGTTTTTCGCTGTATCCTTCATCCAGATTACCTCTTCCATCTTTGCCTCTATAGCCAAGGCAAGGTTATTACTTGAGCATCAGCGAACAGCCATATTGCTTGCTCTGTTATATTGATTGATGGCGTGCGTGTGTGTGTGTGTGTGTGTGTGCGTGTGTGTATTTGTACAAATCTCTTGACGTGTAGATATTTATTGAAGATGTGGTTGGCAGCTCATGTCGACTGAGTCTTAAAGGTACTATGTCCCATTTGCAGGCCAAAAAATGAAAAGTTTAAATTCCAACGGCATTTGAAAGACAATACTAATTTAGAACTTCCCTCAAAACGAAAGGGCTTAGAAATTGCTTTTAGTAATAAATAACGACCATTGGTTGTCGAATCGACTTAAGTGATAGCAATTACCTAAGTAATAGTCTGATTATCAGACCCTTTTACCGAATGGTCGTACGTTTGTGCATGCACAAAGATTCAATTAGTTTGATGTTGGCCATTACAAGTAGTGGGTTCTTGATGTAGACAAATGCCCATGTACAGTACCAGTGCTACAGTTCATTTAATGTATGTTGTTACCACCAAAAAGAAGAAGATGTCTCAATAGTGTATGACAGTGAAGTCTAGAAGGCAAAAGGGTTTCCTTGTATAATTTGACTACTACGACACTGCTAATGTTTAAATTACACAGATAGGACATGCATGACATATTCATAATTCATGCAAAGTTCTACAGAATTTGATGATGGCTGCAAAAGGGACATAGTATGTATCTTTAAACGACCAAATAAATGTCTCAAATTTGATACACTGCTTGCATGGGAATTCAAGGGAGGGAAGTGGGAGACGTGCATGCATGCTGCCCAAATAAATGAATTCTCTTTTGGTGAGAGCACGATTTATCTACGTTAGAACTTGCAGAACATAGGTACACATTTGAATTTGCCTTGATAATTACAGTCTTGTCCATTTTTTCTCGGATTGATCTTCCTTTTAATTTTAGATAATTGTAATCTTTATCACTCCCATTAATTTGAAAAGCGAAACCTAACCAAACTGTGTGCCGGAATATTCGTGCCTTCATTTAGAGTCACGGCGGCGCAGTGAATCCATTATTAAACTTGAAATGTCATGTAAATGTGTGATACTTTACAACACCCACACCCACACCCCCTTATTCATTCCAACATGTTCTATCTCCACGCAAAAATAGAAGAAAGAACATGTTCATTTGACATCTAAAATTCCTTTCCTTCATATTTGATCAAAGTAGCCTTGAAGTTCTTTGGTAGATGCCATCCCCCAAACCATATTTCATCATCAAGTATTTACGTGTCATCATAAATTGATAGTAGGATGTTGATATAAAGAACTTAGTTTGCAAATATTTTTAATAACTAATCTCAATTCAATGTGTAAGTATCCACGTACACGGCAACGGCGCTGGAAGGTTATTGGTGTTTTAAAACATTTAAGTACAGGTACAAAATAAGAACATTGTGCAATATATTATACAGAATTCAACAAAATGCTATATTTAGTACTTGCTTAGCAACAACGATTTAACAAAATTCTTGAAAGTATATATGGACATCGAGTTCCATTGCAGTTCTAGGATTAAGAGAAATATATTTGATTTATTCGATTTTTTTTTGGATATCTTTATTCAATAGAATAAAGGTGACAAGACGGGTAGGACCAATATACAAACGGAAAATAAACAGTACTTTCTGTAAACGGTTGACATCAAATCAATTAGTGTTTCAACTTTGCAAATAATGGGTCATAGTCTTCACGAAATCCAACATTCGTAAATAAACGAATTGCTTTCTTATTAGTACGTACCTTATAATCTGCCCATAGTATATTGCAATACAAAAAGTGTAAAGGAGTATCGATGAATTGTACAGCATATGTAGAATAGTCAAAGGCACATAATGATATGGTTTATATAGTGCGTATACAATAAAGTATACCCAACTTTGGTAGTTTATAATTATAATTAAAATTCATAATCAGTTTGAACTTTTGAACTTGAAATGTCTTATGTCTTATTTCAGCCCGAAAACAGTTGCTGACTGATAACTTTCCAATTATTTTTTTTTTTTTAAATTTTTTAATTTATGTATTTTATTTATTTATTTTATTTTTATTTTTATTTTTTTATTTTTATTTTTTTTTTTTGGGGGGGGGTTCAATAAGTACACCTTAATAGGAGCTAAGGCTGCTGCCCCCTCCCCAATTCTCCAGAGTTTGGATGCAACCTTGTAAGGATTTGTATTAAATATGTAGGAGAAAGACACAAGCCTGGAGGTTTACAGGATCCAGTAAGCAAGCCGTTGTCTTCCCATTGAACCTCTTGGATGTTTCTAAACTTTCAACGTGCTATCAGAAGACAGTCACGTAGTACATATACATTTCAATTAACGTTGGTCTAGATTGCGATTGTAATTCTCGAGGGAAATTTGGTAATCTTCCGTGTCTCTGCTTCATTTTGAAGATTCGTTTGAAATAGAGCCCTCTTTAAAAACCGTTCAATGTTGAAGAAAAAGAAGTTAGAAAGAGAGGCGGGATAAAATCATTAAATCATAACTAGAAAGGGAGGAATAGTTTCAGTCAGGGGGTATGGTAGCTGTGAGCTGTCTATGAATAATACTTGTCTCATGGGTAGTTGTTGGAGGTTCGTTGCCTCTAGGGTCTGTTGTTCGGACGTACTTATCCAGGGATCGATGATTATAAGGGGCTAGTTGTCTTGGTGCGAGGTTGTAGCGTCCGAGTGGTTCTCTTCGAAGTTGTCCCGATGATATTAGGGACTTTTAGATTCGCACGAAGACAATGGGGATTGCTACGATCGACGTCCTTTTAATGCACTGCCTTGAATGGACGTCACATGTATCAGTCCACGCAAATCTAAAAGTCCCTATTAGTGGAGAAGAACACAGGACATTCCATGTTTCATATTTCTAAATATTTACATTTGGATATATATACTTCCTAGTTAGTAAAACATTCGATGACCTTCGATTGATTGACACTGTGTAGATTAAGATGATTTTTCTTAACTGTTCCATATTCTTGATCGATGACTACCATTTTAATGACACCTCATCGATCTTTCTTTCTCATTACGAATACACAGTGGTACCTGTAGCACCGTTTGGAGCAGACAATCTCGGTAGAGAATTCGTGTTTGCCATCCCGCCAAATTACGACGACCAGACCCAACCTACGATCGGCATCGTTGTGGAGGCCATTTCAACCAACGTCACTTCCGTTGCGGTCAATGTGCCGTTGAGGAACATGGGTTTCAACTTCACCCTTGCACCCGGATCAGCACCCTATGATCTCGTGCTTTCTCCTGACCTTGCCACGACTGGGGTAGCAAGGGTAACGGACGCTACCATCGTGGTGAGGTCCGATCAAGATGTCTCAGTGACGGCTTACAATATCAAACGTTACACTATGGCAATGTTTACTGTGTTACCGACCAAGCATATGGGCAAGGAATACTTTATCGCCACCCTTACGCAACCAGAAAGGGGTTTCGTTCTGATGTCTGCATTTAACGAACCGACTGAAGTTAAATTAGAATTGACCGGATGCGTTGCATTTCTTAATGAATCGTATTCACCGGGAAGTGTTATTGTATATACCTTAGGATCGTATGAAACATTACAACTTGAAAAACTGCAAGACGATATGATTGGAACAAGAATTACCGCCAATACGCCGATCGCAGTGACTGTCGGTGGCCTTTGTTCATATGTTCCTAAAGGCGTTTCGCGTTGCGATCACATCGCCGAACAGCTAGTTCCATTTGATCGCTGGGGACGTTCTTTTTTTCTAAGCCCGTTCGTCAATCGACTGTCCGGATATCAATACCAAATTGTTGCCGGAAGAAACAATACAAGGGTATCATTGGGGACTCACGAAATATACTTGAACACGGGGGAGCACTATCTAGGAGATATGGCCGGTCAGAGCATGACTTCAATATCAGCGACCAAACCAGTCATGGTGATGCAGTACTCGAAAGGAACGTCCACAGACGAAAGACCAGGGGATCCAGCCATGCTGTTAGTCACCCCTTGGGAGCAATATGTATCGCGTGTGGAGTTTCCTGTGTTAAACCTCCCCGCAGCAGGGATCTCCACAGTCTATATCGGTGTGATATCTGAATGCAATGTGTCTCTTAACATCGAGTTTGGAAACTACAAGTATAACGAGGTAAGATGTGTAGTCCTTTTATATTTCAATTCTAAATTGTCTCTACGGGGAAACGGGAAACTTGGACAGAGAGCTAGTGCCCTTGTCCAGACCATTCAGGACTACCACTCCTGTCACACCGACCAAACGAATCCTAAAATGACAAGAGATTGAACAAAAGTTACTTTAAAGAGAATGGCCACGCATCGGTCAGTTGGAGGAGATTCGGTGGTGTAGCTGAGGTATTACAACCGCTAATACCCTCATTAAATTTCCTCGTTACGAGCATAGTTTCACAGGTGTTCCTTGCTCGCACAAGTTGGAGAAAATATTTCTCTCAAATTTCCTCCTCCCCTTATTTGTTTAAATGTCTGTTAATGCATCTTTTCAGTCCGCATGTTTGCTCTTTTTCTACCTATAAATTTAGATTAAGAAGCGATTATATATAACTGAAGAATATTTCCCCCCTTGTAATGTTACCAATATTGTTTATATTTGGGTGTCTTTCATATTGACCCAACTAATAGGTACCGTGGCTCATCGAGTACGATCTCGTCACAAGCGACAACCGACAGATTTGTAATCGTTGGGTGACCATCGAGGAAGGTAGTCACGTACTGAAAAGCGATTCAGCTACGCAAGTAACAGGTGCAGGAGAGACAGTGTTCACAGTTCTGGTTTACGGAGTTGGAGACCGTGTCGCTTACCTGTACAATGCGGGTTTCGGTCTGCATCCACAAACGTGCACCACTCCAAGTTCTGCCCCACCATACAATGAGATGGAAGTGTCGTGTGCAAGTCTACGAAGAAGTAGGTCAAGGTCTATTAAACTGTAGACTATATTCACCCTTGCAAATTACCTGGGGTGTGTCAACAATTCTTAAATTTATCTAATAGGGAAATCCAACCCTTGTAATAAATCTATTTGAATGAAAGCAGAAAAAAAGAGAAACAGAATAACGAAAGTTTGAAAAGAATAGGAATACTAATAAGAAAGTTAGAGATACGTTGGGTTAAAATAAAATGAAAGAATATTCTTATCTCCAAATGTTCTATCAAAAGAATGGCTGCACCTATATGCCTATTAAAGATAAATAATCATTGACAAACACTATAAATGTGACTACAAAGTCTACAATGATTATCATTCATGACCGACTCATTGACCTTCCCAAATATTTAAAACGCAGTAATTCCTTCCGATATAGTTTTTAAAAAAAATGTTACCCCTTTTATTTGAATTTTCTTATCTCTTTCTTCCAAATGTAGAATTCGTCTTACACACCTTCATTTTTCTCTTTGCTTACAGGGACATGTCCGGTTGAACAAACTGAGTCATCTTACGGCACAATAACATGGAGAGCATCCATTGAGAACACTCAAGTTCCCTCGGATATTGTATGTCCATTCAACTCCTTTAAAGGTTTGTAGTACAGTTAAACAGTATTTCCATGAAATTAGAGAGAAAAAAATCAACAGCTAATGAGGCAATAGATACACTTTCTTGTCTTTTCGAAACATGATACGTTCCTGTGCCTGACTCTTGAGAGATGTCTCTTCTAGAGAATAAAGACTTATGCAGGACGTGTGTCAAAGTAACGTCAAATAAGGTTTGTGGTATTTATATGTAATGATTTACTCGCTCTCTTCAGTCTTGACTTGGGCACCACGATGTGAGTTTGTGCAACCACTATTGGCATACATGTGCATGTAAAGAAGACGCTGTCCAGAAGATGTAGGTGCATAACGGAGGCGTGGTGACGCAGTGGCGTCGCAGTGGTCTCGTAACCGGTAGGTCTCGGGTTCGAAACCAAGTCGATACGCTAGTGCCTTTGGGAAGGCACTAATCTTCATTACCAAGTCCATCGGAGAGGACTTAAATCCGTCGGTCACGTGGTTGCTCACTTACAAGCACATGCCTTCTTAGCAGTCAGGTTTAACAAACAAAACAGAACAAACACACCAACATTGACGGTCCACTATAATTATACCGGACATCTACCAGACCAAGGAATTTGGCTACGTTCCCTTCAGGTCTTATGAGGCTGTTATATATCAAAATTCTTAGTCAGGTGTCAGATCTGCGGTAAAAGAAGCATATACAGTAAGGGTAGTAAAAAAATGCTTAAATCACGAAGAAGTCAAAATATTTTTTTCTTCTTCTCTTTCAGCTGGCCAGCCAGTAGGAGAACGAGTGTGTCTTGGTAACCGTAGGATGCATGCATATTGGGGAGAAGTGAATATACAGGAGTGTGGAGAACCAACAACACTGATATTACCAGCGGATCTCGCAAAGGTACATACCACATTGGTAACATGTAGCTCCAGTGATGATATACGAATTAAGGTCTATTCACTCTAACCGATTTCATGTTTTTATATGAAATTATTTGCAATAATCAACAATGGTGTGCATAATGAGGTCGCCAAATTTAAGAGCAATATAATAAATAGTCAGGTAACTTGTGTGTGGTAAAGTTCTGGATAGTTTGGGCTCAGTTCTTTAGTGGCCTCTTATAGTTTGAAAACCAAATAATGGCATACATGTATATTCCAAGGTAGCAATTATGGGTTATAAGTATGTGGGCGTTCGTTTAAACGATTTCTTTAACATCGCTAACATGGTCACTGCGCTTCTTGCACTCAACCTTCCGTCTATGATAGTGAACATTTGTAATGGATGATCAACTAGAAACATTTATGATAACTGTGATAGTTTGAAATTTCTATTATGTTTGACAAGGTGGTAGTCGATGAGGCCAACGTAGCTCTGGTCAGCGCCGTATTGGAAGAAATCACTGGCAACCTCAGCACTGTCGACGACGAAATGGTTGATGCGATCTCCAAGACGCTGGAGAACATCGTCGGCGTCGCTTCACCATCGCCTAACGTAAGAAATGTTTACCTTATCAAAAGCTTGAGGAAAGAAAACAAATATAAAATTAACAGTTGCTTTTTCAAGCTTTTTTGTATTCGGCCAAAATACTTTGTTTTACTAATGTTTCAATTCGATAGCTATTCTTGTTGTTCATGTTCACCTGGAAGTAGAAGAGGAATGGCCATGCACTCATAGACAAAAATACAAAGTACACTGTCATCTAAACAAATGTTTTGAAGTTCATAACATCAATGAATGCAATCTTCTATTGCAAAAAGAGAGAGAATATAACCTATATATTAAAAAGAGGGTAACCAGGAGTTCAGGGTAGAATCGTCTATAATATTGACTACATTTAAATAGTGAGCTATTCTATTACATTGCTTCGTTTTTAAACTACATCGGACATCTTACCGAATGGCCTGGATTTTTCCGATCGAAATTGTTAATACTTGTTTAATCTTTGAGTTTATGCATATTACGATAATAATAGCATTCAATCTTGTAATTTTTAACAACTAAGTCTAATGTTAAAATGTCAATTAGAATGCAATATTCATAGTTATTATGCGCCATGTTTTTCGAATTGCCCACTCGGTTGTGACTTGGTGACCGGTTCGATTCGGCTCATCAGAAGCTCGGTCTGTTATTTATCGGCGGACCAAGCTTGGTACGGAAATGGTTTAGCACCCTACTCGGTAAAGAGTATTATGGGCTCAAAAGTCACTCTCACACTTTGCCGAGATGAGCATCAGAATCTTCCCAAGCTGACCCTCTAAACATGTATCTCGGTACAAAAGTCCCCTAGACACTACGAGCATTTCAATACATTGGAACGTGTTTGAAATACAGTGATATTCATTCGTAGCCGCGGTCTGAACTTCCTACAAGAAATATTTATACGTTTCACAGTCCAACTCCGCTCCAAAATCTGCTCCCAACTGAACAGTTAAAGTTAAAGAAGATTGTTTTCTAAATTCATTAACATCTTATACTGTCACAGGTCACTACGAGTGTGGTCAAAGCAGTCGGTAACCTGGTCGGTTCACTTGAAGACTCGGAGTCCAGTAGTCCAGAGCTAGCCGCATCATCTTCCAGCGTGGTGCATTCAGTCGAGAAACAAGTCTCATTAACCCTGCAAAACAGTGACGAGTTCAGTTTGACAGCAGAGAATATGATCGTTCAGGCGGGAACTCTAGACGCCACTGCGATGGATAATGGGATCAAGTTTGATGGTGGTGGGGATTCCACCGCTTCTATTCAGCTACCGTCTTCCATTTTCAATCAAGCCGGACCTGTTGTAGAAGGGATTCCCAGCCCAGGTGTGTACAGTGCCTCGTTTTTTCATTTCCTTGTTTATAATTATCTTCGTAGCTTCTCTTTTCCTTACTGATCATATAGTCGAGGCTAATATTAAAGAGGTTACATGTTCACGCTGGTAAAATTATATTGATATCATCTTAAATTGAAAAAAAAAATGTTTTAATCAATAAGAAGAAAGCAAAAGGTGGACTTTTTGAATACATTATCTCTAGTATTGACAATGATTATATTTCACAAACCTTGGTCGGGTAATATTTCATAATATTTACTTTTGTGAGAACTAGTCCCTTTTTCAAACTGTATACAATCTTAGATTTGATGTAACCTTGAAATACATGTATTAACATAGGCGTTAGCTGATGTAGTTTTGTATTGTTCTTCTATCAGGGACGAAAGTTCGGTTTATAACGTTCAACGGGGACGCACTCTTCAGATCGGCGAATAGATCACAGACAAGTGGCCATGTTATATCAGCAGCAATTGATGGTGTGAACGTGCAAGACCTTACTGAACCAGTAAAGATCACCTTCAACGCACCAATTGTAAGGATTTTGTTACACATTTTTAGAGCAAACCTTTTTTTTTGTTGAAGATATGCTTCTTCTTTTTTCAAACGGAAATTACTGATTTTCAAGAAATGCAGGGTGTAACATAGAATGTTCACTGATCATTTTGGGGCAATGTGGTAGATAAGTAACAGCTCAAGACTCTCATTCGGAAGGTCTCTGGTTCGATCCTTGCTGGGTGCTGACATCATTGGACAACATGGACATGGTGTTTTACCCACATACATGTAACAACTAAATTATTTATAACCTCTAAGTTTTGTAACTTTTAAGGATGTGAATAATTGATTTGTACCGGTTTATGTTTCTTGAGAATGTAACATATCAAAGCTTACGTCTAAAAGTATTAAACAAATGCCCTAATTCAACCAGTCCAAGTTTCATTCTTCCTTCTTGAAAAACATCAAATTTACAAAGGGTATGAATAATTCAGTTGTTACCTGTATGTCCCCCTCAACCCGGTTGGCTTAAATGAATACATGGCCTGAAGGAAGAGCAGAATTAATGCTTGGCTAAATATTAGTATTATTATAAATACTTGTATTATAATTACATTATTATATTATATCATTACCATTATCACTATTATCATCATCATCATCATCTTTTTTCAAAAATAAAGTAGGCATATGTTAAACATTTAACCAGTTCAATGGATTATTTAAAGCAATAAATTGGTGTGTTTAATTAATGTCTGACATGATAAACATACAGTATGAACGACTCACACACACACACACACACACACACACATACAATATTTTTTAAAGTCATATTTCATTAATTCAAAACATTCTTTAAAACCTATTAGTTTGAGGTTCAGAAACGATTTGATGTTATGCATTTTTTCAAAACTCTCCTTCATTTAAAAAGCACGCTCTGTCGCTAGAAGTACCAAACTTTAGGCTCACAAATATTTGATATTGTATCCTATTAAAAGAAACCCACTACAATTTCAATTAAACTTAAAGCTTCTTGATATATTGAATCAGATTCAATTAGTAATAGTATGTATAATTACCCACAAAATTACATACACTTACCTACTTAGCCTGTTGGAGAAAACAGCACTTTGAACCAATCAATGTGTGTGTACTGGGACTTTGATCTGAGAGACGGCGTCGGTGATTGGTCGGACAACGGATGTACTCTTAGTGACGTCAGAGGGGATTCGATAACCTGTTCCTGTAATCATTTGACAAACTTTGCTGTGTTGATAGTAAGTGTGTCGGAAGTTATCGAACTCATAAACTTACATTTTGATAATGGGGAAAGGTATGGTCCACTGGGCACGTATAAGGTAGAAAGTAAACCATCAGAATATGTAACTTATCTCTCAGGATGTGCATTAATTTCAATTTTAAAAAAGGGTACTTTTTTAATTGCTCTAGGGATATTCGTTAATTTGGTAAAATATGAGTTTGTACGCCCCTTTCATCCCGGAATGTGCATTTGCCCCTATATATCTTTGAATGCATACAATCACACGATGGATATCGTTAACCATCATCTTTTAAAGATTACATTTCCCTACCGTTGCATTTTCATGTGTTACTAACGTGTTTAATGTTTTAGCAAAATCTGGCACAAACGGATTTCCAAATACCATTTGTATAACAATGTTGAAGCTGGTATGGATTAATGCAATTATATTATAATTTGAAGGCATATTACTTGTACTTGTACTTTGAGAGAAAAAAAATTATAAAGATAACAGTTTTTCTTACAATAGCCGTTTATTTTCGGGTTCCTTTTTTTTCTGGGACGCACTGTACATGGAAGATGTGCAAGGGAGTGGAAAATATTATGTATAACAAATCATTGTAACGTTCTTGGTATAAATCATCGAAATTGTATTCGTATTTGAGATGATTACTACGATCATTTATTTCTTCTTTACCTTATAAAAGGATATGTCTGGTCAACATAAGGATGATCAGGATAAGTTTGACTTCGCTCTAGATATCCTTAGTAAGATTGGCTGTGCAGTATCTATCGCGGCACTTGTCATCACAATCATCGTATTCATGGTATTCAAGTAAGTTTCTCTTTATACTAGTCCAGATTTTTAGGTAATTATTTTAAAGTGATTTTCACAATTGGATACATTAGAAATTATTTTCAAATGGAACATTACTTATAATATTAATTGTCGTCGTTTAATTCCATAGGTGATGAAGATTATAATGCGCGAGTTTTCTTTTTAAAGTCTCTGTACATGATATATTTGCATGATCGCTTGATTTTTACCCTAAGTTGGGTTCGCAGCTTTGGACTGTTCGTATAGACAACTGAATTTTGTTTCATGAAGGGCCATTGGGAAATCCCCCTCCTGCATAAAAAAAGTTTTTCCCCTATTTTCATTGCTGCTCGAAGCTCTAAAACGTGTGAGAGTAAGCAACCACTCAGAAATAAGCCTACTCATTTCATGTACACTAGCAAAGAGCATTCAATATTTTGTTGTCACTGTTGTTTGCAATATAAAGTTCTTCTTTTTTTTAAGTTAAGGCTTCAAATAGGAGCATTCCTGTTCTTAACTCTTTTGGTTGAATTCTTGTTCCAAATGAAATAATCGTCGGCGCTCGAGCGCACGGCCCCTTTCTGAAGTGGTGGGGGATACTTAAAGCATGCGTGTATAATATTTGGCGGGATTTCCCTCCATTTCAAAATTCTGTTGTTCCGGGACTAATAACTTTTTTCATTTAAGTAATAGTCACGAATATTAATTCTTATTTTTTACTCTCAAACTTTTAATGTGTCATTCATCTCCAATGTTTTTTAAAAATAATAAATATATATATGTCATTTTTTTCAGACGTCTACGAAACAGCCGACCACGTCGTATCCTACTCCATTTCTGCGTCTCGCTGCTCTGTCTTTACCTTGTCCTTCTCTTCGGGATCGACTACGCAGCCCACATGGACGTGGCATGTGTGACCGTGGGTGCACTCCTTCACTACTTCACACTGACTACGATGATGTGGATGGGGGCCGAGGCGCTCAATATGTACCTGATGATCGTCCGTGTGTTCGATGAGGAAGGCCCGTGTTTTCTTACAAAGGCTTGCGTCATAGCTTGGGGTTAGTTGCTGAGGAATACTTCTATCTCGTCACCCTTTTTTTTAACTTGCCTGGATGCTAGAACGCATTCTTGTTGGATGCTTTTCATTAAAGTTCAATGATTTTCTATGAAACTATTTGAATTGCTATAATTTGTGTTTGTGAATTGATGTAACTTTAAAGCACTTTTCATTATTTTTTTTGTTACAGGTGCACCATTGGTTGTAGTTGGGGTTACTGTAGGCATGCGAAGGGAAGACTATCTTCATAAATCATAGTAAGTCTGAAAAAAGGTCAAGGTTTCATATTCCTAAATTCTTCTCCAATGTGATATCGTTATCATTCTTTTCCCTTTTCAATATTCTAACTTCTATCTCTACTGCTTCCTAGATGCCCATCCCCCTTTTTATCAGTTCCGTCTAGAAAGGCGTGGTAAACGGATGGTTTATCAGTTCATCATGTGATCATTTCAAGTCATACACATTACTGTTTCCCAAGTAAGAGCTACGCAGTTGGTCTTTGCCAGGTCCCTCCCCCAGGGGGAGGAGTGTCAATCCCAACATGACTGGCTACTCACCCGCGTCCAAAAAAGGGCGTCGAAATGGCGTCTTTTTCAACTATACGGCGTCGTCGGCGTTTTCCTTAAAAGGGGGGGGGGGGGGATTTTTTAACCACTGATCGTATAAAAACCCAAAACGGGTACTTGTTCAGGTACACAGGTTTCGAAGTTTTGTTTCAGCTTTTATGGTATTTATTGAAATAGTACATTTAGCATTTTCGTCAAGGTTTTCGAAGCGATTTATATTAATTTAGAGGTGTTAACTTTAGAATTAGTGATACGCCTTTTAGAGTCCATTCGGAAAATTTGCGACACAAATGCCGTAAGGGCCATTTCAGAAAAGGTCCGATACGCCATTATGGTCTTTTTAAGATGTTGATGGACACGGATTGGTAGCACTTGTGTGTGAGAGTGACCCCCCCCCCCCTCCCCGGGTTCCCCCTCGGTGCATCTACCATTATCATTACCATAGCTAGGTAGATGGTCAAATGTGGGAGGCCTTTGCCCGCACTCACAGTCTGTTGCAAGGTCAGTCCACTTGTACAAATAATTATTAGCTTATAATTTTTGCAAGTCAATTTCCTTAAGACAGGCCATGATGAATTGTTTTTTCTTATCATTAATTATCCGATTATATTTTATTATTATCTACAGTTGTTTCATGACTCCGGGACTGAGTTTCTACCTCGGGGTCCTACTACCTATTGGGCTTGTCCTATCTTTCAACTTCATCATGTTTATCCTCGTCATCCGGCGGTTATGGAAGGCCAACCTTGGGGGCACCATGCCGATGGAGAAAGAGGAAAAAGCGGCCGCCCGTTACCGGCAGCTCCGCACGAGACTACTCAATGCGTTCTCAATCTCAGTGCTCCTCGGGCTTACCTGGGTATTCGGGTTTTTGGCAATAGAGGACGCTACATTTGCTTTTCAGCTAATCTTCTGTGTGGCAAACTCATTACAAGGTACACTTACAATTGCGTCCTCATTGCAGAAGTATTTCATTCATTTATGTTTGCCCCTCATGTTTGTGTGCATAAATTAGTAATTTACGATGGGTGCCATCAAATAAATGCTTTTGATAAATCTGGCTGACAGGCAACAAAAAAGTACAATTTTGTCAATCCTGCCTCAAAGTATCCTCAGCAGACGGCATCTGATTATGAGCAAAGTAAACAAATGACAATGTTCTTGTTTTTCCTTCACCTTAAATACTTTCTTTCTTTTCTTCTCCTCCAATCACCAGGTCTCATGGTCTTCATTCTCTTCTGCGCACGGCAGGAGGATGTCCGTAAATCAATGAAGCCTCACTACAATCGGCTTAGCGGCATGCTACCGCCAGCCATTCGGCCGACCACCGTTACCGCCTACTCACTTAGCAGCCGCACTCCTGGTGAGAATGATGACCGTAGTGGCAAAAATCCGCTGCGAACCTCTCCACTGTCGGCGGGATCCTACACTTATAAAGTGACGTCATCGTCGACCGATGAAGTCAGGATGATCTCAACGAGTGAAAACGTCAGTGAATACCATGATTAACATGTGACTGGAAGCATGTATACAATGATGCTTGCAATTACTCTTAAAGGGAGTGCAGCCTGACGAGACTTTCCCGTGGCCTGGCTTGGGGCCAATCGGGTATTGACTACGGACGACGCGACCGCAGCAATCAAGTGCGTGCAACATACGCGAAACCGAAGCGTTAAAGGAGAACTTCGGTCTGTTTCACGAACGCTGACCATGTAGAGACTAAGGAGCTGACTACACTTAATTAAGTCCATTCGTTTACGTGCAGTTGTCCAAAAAGAAGACGTAGATGGCGTTAACCAGTATTTGCCAAGCTGCGCTCCCTTTAATACTTCGGGGAAAGGAAGACATCATTTGACAAATTAATGTTAGCATACTCTCGTTGTAGCATATACAGGTAAAGTGGTCTAGTGGATAAATCTCCGGACTGTGAACCACGAGGTACAGGGTTCGAGTCCCTATCGCAGCACTAATTACCTTTGGCAATACATAAGTCTGCATTTGCCACACTCCACCCAGGTGTGGTATAGGTAAATGGTACCCGGCAGGAAATCTTTCATTATGAATGCTCGAATGCTGTAATGGCTCCCATGCAATTAAAGGAGGGGTAATAATAATAAAGACATGATATAGAAACGTCAATACGATGGATTCACAATCCGTTGTTAATCGTGATTCCACCCTATCGATATAATTAACGTCAAAGATGATTTAGGAAATAGGACTACGAACAGTTGGTCTATCTTTACTTTATTGTTCCTCACATGGAAAATTCATACCACCTGTTCTGCTATTTACTTTAATTCTATTTACATTTAATTGAATAATCAAAATGCAATGTTCCTGTAATGAGAAAGCAGGGTTGCTGAGTCTAAAAAAAGTCATTCACATTTCCTTGTGTTCATATTTTACTAAATCTCACTTTCTTTCCATTTTAGTAAGCAACTTTGATATAAATTATATCAATAAAATGTACTTGTAAAGATATATAATCGCCTCGTTATTGTACGCTGTATAGTAAATCTCTAAGTTCTGTATTTTTTGTACAAATCGTTTCTACATTTCGTTATACAAAAAACGGATAAGAGACTGAAATGAGCAACTGCACTTATTTTTATGTATTTTCTGTTTCAAAGTTTAAGTGGCCATGAGGTTTTTGCTTGAATAGCTGACAGTTGTAATTCTATATAAAATATTTTATTTCCTTGTATGTACTGTAAATTGTTGGTATCTAGATGGTGTTACTACTTTAAATAGTTGCAATATGAAATATTTGTTCTTTGTATATAATTTGTCTTTCTGTGTAAATACATGGTTGCCTATTTGTTAAATGTCATGCAAATGGATTTATTGCAAAGGTTGTATCGCTCTTGAGAAATAATAATAATAATAATAATAATAATAATGTAACTTATATCGCGCCAAATCCACTCTGTGGAGTGCTCAAGGCGCGTGTAAACAGGAAAAAAGATCAAGACTTGAAAAGAAAAGTTTTGAGATGAGTTTTGAAAGAATCAGAGGATAAACATTTTTTGATGTCTTCAGGAAGGCCATTCCATAATTTAGGACTAGAGTATGCAAAAGATCTTTCCCCCCACGTTTTGGTGATTTTGGGGGTTACAAGAAAATTGGAAGTGGATGAGCGTAGAGGTCTTGCAGGAGTGTAGTTTTGGATTAGAGAGATAAGGTATTGAGGAGCAGAGCCGTGAACGCAATGAAAGGTGAGCAACAAAATTTTGAAAACAATGCGATCTTTTACTGGGAGCCAGTGTAGCGACTGCAAAACTGGGGAAATGTGGGTACGCTTGGTGGTCAGAGAAACAATACGAGCTGCAGCGTTTTGAAGCTTCTGAAGCTTGGACACTAGATTCTGGGGTAGATTGATTAGGAGGGCATTGGCAAAATCAAGACGGGAGGAAATCAGAGCATGAACTAATTTTTCGGTGGCAGACTTGGACAAATATTTACGAATAAAACCGATATTACGCAAGTGGTACCTTACAGATCTACAAATATTAAGAACTTGGTTAGACATTGTCATATGTGAGTCAAACATAACACCGAGATTGCGACACGTTTGTGACAAGTGAATTATGTGGCCAGAAAATGAAATGCAATTGATATTAACTTTACTAAGCTGTACTTTGGAACCAAATATAAGGAATTCACATTTGTCTAAATTTAATTTCAAGGAATGTGCGAGCAACCAATCAAGAACGTCAGCCATGCAAGATTCAAGGCGATGAACGGCTCGTTCTGCAGCGGCTTGATCTGAATTGAAGGAAATCATAAGTTGAATATCGTCTGCATAAATATGATAATCTATGCCATGTTGTAACAAAACTTGTCGCAATCCAATTAAATAAATTGAGAAAATAATGGTTTGTGTATGAAATTCTACACGATGAAAGATGTATAAATGCTGAAAATGGTCAACAATATAATTATACAAACTTCTGTTCAATTTCTGTCATACTTTCTGTCTCTTTGTGTTCATGATTACATCCCTTTTCTTAAAAAATAGATTTATACACCTGTCACACATTGTCTCACAATAATATTGGGCGGCAAGGAGCCTGAAATCGGGCACCTAGCCGCCCGAATATATATATCTACTAATACTATATGACTATCATCTACTGCGCCCAATACAATATACAGTGTATCATATTAAATACAACTATATCATATTAAACAAGTCTGTGAAGTCAAATGTGTTGATTTTCTTTATATTACTCGAGTAGAACCTCGATGTAAAATACTTACTACAGTATAACAAGGTTGAGTAATCTCATAGTCTCACTTCGATGTACTATGTGTCTTCTGTTATAGCTGTGATAAAGCAGGGTTTCAATGCAACAAGGGAATTTTCCGGGAATTTCTAAGGAATTGATTGTTAGGAAATTTCACTGTATAATCACGATTTATTTGTGCCAATTTTCTTTTCCAATAATGAAAAAAATTCATAGTCACTAATTTTGGAAATGAATTTTTACAAGATTTTTATATGCACGGTACTGTTAAATGTTTGGAAGTGGGTGACAGCCTGTATATAAATGGCTGTTAATATTTGCTAAAGTTATGATATAATTATTTTTTGAGAGTATGTGATACTTTTAGATCTTCATGGATATATCTAAATCATTTTAAGATCCTATCTCGAAGCATGGGTCTCATGAAAAGACTTACGACTCATCCTGGTCAGGATGATCCTTTATTATATCATTGAAAGCCAAACACTCGTATATTTCCGCAGTATCATAGCTAAGGAGCAGAGCCCTCTCCAATCATATGGACCCCACACAAGTAAAAAGTGAATAAAGAACCAGGAAAGACAGAAAGAAAGAAAGAAAGAAAAAGACAAATGAAGAGGTAGCCAAAGGAAGGAAAAAGAGGATTACGAGACCGCTCCTTCACCCATCACCGCTCATTCTCTGCTCTTTTCTCTTCGTCCACCTGCTAAGATTCATGCTTTCCGTAGTGACGTATAGTGCCCCAAGGCCCCTTCCCCACCCCCTAAAAATAGACCCACGATACACCAATAGTTGTGTGAGGATAAAGGGTATTTCTATGACTATCGTGGCACGGGGAGCAAAGCACCACTTTGGGGTACGTAAACATGGTGACATAGAAAAAAACCAAGATGACCGCCATCTATAATTATTTCGTCATTATCATAGCTTCGTGAGAGATAGTTGGTTACAAGGCATGATCCAAGCAATTATAGGACTTGGAAAATTAGGGCACACACGATAAAAAAGGAAGCATAAAGAAACAAATATTTAAAAAACAAATAAATATACAAAACGGTCATCACTTGAAATTGTCATTTTAATGCATTTTTTAGGAGTAATCGCGTTTTAGGCATTTATTTCCTTGTGTTTGTTTGGTTAACAAGAATGTATCATTCACACAGGATATGTTATTATGATCATTATCATAATCATCATCATCACGACAACCATTTCTTCTCTCGTTTTGTTCATTTATTTATGTTTTGCAATATTATACGTTACGGTCAAACAAATTCAAGCATGTCGGAGAATATTCTTATTTATTTGAATATAAAGACACTCTCACTTCAATTTTCTTTAATGAATGGAATGTAAATTTCCTTCATTTTCATAGATTGATTGATTGATTAATTTTTATTCGCCAAGCTTCCAACATACAACAGACTACAAGAATAGCAGATCAAAATCAAGTCAGCTTGAACAGGATAACCCACGAAAGCTCGAGAGGTTATTTCCAGTACTACAAATATACTTTTTCTATTAAAACATCTAAAAACAATTACACTTTAAAAATAAAAAATAAAAAACAACATCACAACGACTATTGAAATGTTAAAAAGATAAAAACTGAACTTCCCAATGTTTTGATATAAAATAAATGGTATGACATACAGTTTGTTTTCTTCATTTTGTGCGGAATAACAATTAAGATATATAGATCATAGTGTTAGAAATACATGTAGACGTACATTAATGTTCTCGGGCTTTAAATAGATTTAGTGAATAAAAACACAATATAATTATACCGGATAAGAGAAACAGATTTGATCCGCTACGTAAAACTGAGAAATTAAGGAAACCAAAAAAATGCGATGTACAAGAGTTGGAGCAAAAATGGCAGAGGTCAATTGAAGAGACGGAGAGACAATGGGTCGAGTGTGGAGAGAGTGAGGAGAAAAAAATTAAAAAGGGGAAAAGGAGAATTTACAAGGGAGAGATAAGCAGAAAGGGGGCCCTGTTTCATACAAACTTGTTATCAATAACAAATGATCGAATGCTATGACAAATTAGCTTTCAGCCAATCAGTTGCCACGATTTCAGTAGCTTATAAAAGCTATTGTAACTTGTTATTGATAACAAAATGTTACGAAAGAGGGCCCACGATGGTGAAGGACATGTAAACCCAACAAAGAAAGACAGATAGATGGAAAGACTGACACACCATAGACACAATTAAGAGGCTGGGCCAGAAAAGATAGGAATAATATTTTGTTAGAAAATATCAATCCTACAAAATAAAATAGGCTTATGAAATCATTGCGTTTTTCATGCACATTATTCCAAAAAGAAGATATCTATTCGGATTAAAATGCCACAAATCAATATTCAATTCGGGATCATCTCTCATTATAAATGATAGAATAAAAAAAACATTATTTTGATTTTTGATTGTGATTTTTCTTTCTCCTTGGTTTGTATGTTGTTGTTTTTTCGATTTTCGTTTTGTTAACATTCTTTCAACATGGCGATAATAGTGGTTTATGCACCCACATCGGAAAGCACAGATGAAGAGATTGACATTTTCTATGATCAATTAGAAGCAGCCAAATCACAATGTAAATCAAGTGAAATTGTAATTGCCATGGATGACATGAACGCCAAAGTGGGAAGAGGCAGATATGGTGGAACAGTAGGGCCATATGGTATTGGAGACAGAAATGAAAGAGGTAACAGATGGGTAGAGTTGTGTGAGGCCAAAGGAAGTGTCATTGTTAATACATGGTTCAGGGAACATCCAAGAAGGATATATACTTGGAAAAGCCCTGGGGATCGTGTAAGAAATCAGATCGATTACAACACAATAAATGAACGATTCAGAAGAGGGGTAAAGCATGCTAAAAACATATCCGGGTGCAGAGTGTAGAATTAATCACATTCCTGTTATGGCAACTATGCAATGTATAAGCTAAAGAAGACGACACAAGCCAAGTCAATCCAGAAGGTAGATTTCGAACAGTTACAGAATCGAGATGTTCGCCTCCAATATGCGAATATCCAAAACAGATTTGATAGTCTCATCGACCAGCGAGAGGAGGTCACTTGGGAATCAATGAGGGACATTCTTGTAGAAACAGATGAAGAGACATCACCTAAAAAGGAAAAGAAAAGTAAACAGAGATGGATGACAGAGGAGATCCTATCGAAGATGAGTAAAAGGCAGAAGACCAAGGACAGAGACGGAATTGAACACAGATAGTAAGATAGAGAAATTCACGACCACTGCACAAAAGCTAAAGAGGAATGGCTGAACAAACAGCGCGTCGAGATTGAGAGAAGTTTTAACGCAAGCGATCCCAGGGTTTTTAAGAAGGTAAATGATCTTTCTGGAAAGTAACTACAGAGCTCAAAGTCGGGATGCATCAAGGCAAATGATGGATCAGTACTGGTTGAAAAGGAAGAGATACTGAGCAGATGGACTGACTACATTGGCGATATTTTTCACGATGTAAGAAAAGAACCTATACATTGTGCAGGATCTATCGAAGGACCTAGGATTCTGCTCTCAGAAGTGAGGTCAGCGATCAGTATGACAAAGAGGAACAAAGCTGCTGGTCCTGATGGAGTAGACAGTGATGGAGATGATCGAGGCATTGGATAACTATGGTGTCATGAAACTAACTGAAGTCATAAATAAGATCTATGATTATGGAAAGTTTCCAGATGACCTGTGTAAATCAATATTTATTACACTTCCTACGAAACCAGAAGCAGTGGAATGCGGGCAACATAGAATCATAAGTCTCATGAGCCATATCACAAAGATCATCTTGCGAGTTCTACTTCAGAGAGCAAGGAATCACCTAACTCCAGAAATCAGTAATGTGCAGTTTGGTTTTGTCATGATGCTGGGTTAGGTTAGGGTTAGAGTTAGGGTTAGGGTCGACGTGCGCCAAATGACTTTTGGTACCCTCTCTTCAAATTTTGTTCAATCACTCATGCGTAAAATATGCATCATATGAGTTGCATCCAATAAAAGAGGAGGATCTAAGCTTTACAAATAGGCCTATTAGTCATTTATTAATTAAAGTTGTAATTAAGTTATGATAAAACATCGATAATTCTCGGTTTCATTTTTCTGGGACGCACTTTTTAATGGACAACTACTTTGTAAGATGTTATTGTTTGAGTTTCAATAGCGTGTTAGATAAGTGTTAAAACTATAAGGAGGGGGAAGGCGGATAGGTAAGCCCAGGGGCGTACGCAGGATTTTTTCAAGGGGGGGGGGGGGTTTTAAATCTGGCCCAAAATATTTTGCTCCCGAAAATTTGAAAATCGCGCCGGCCGAAAAGTCGCTCAGTGGGGGGGGGGGGGGGGGGGGGGAGGGGGGGGGGTAGGTAAGCGGACACTTTTTTTTTTTTTTTGGTAGTCCAAAAAAAAATCGCAACGACTCAGCCAACCGAAAAGTCGCTCAGTGGGGGGGGGGGGAGGGGGGGGGGGGGTAAGCGGACACTTTTTTTCGTTGGAGGGGGGGGTAAAGTCACTTTACGTTAGCCGTGGGCATAATTTTTTTTTTTTTTTTTAAATTAAAAAAAAACAAAAACAAAAACAAGGGGGGGGTTTAGTTTTTTTTTTACCAAAGGGGGGGTTTCCCCCCCTGCGTACGCCCCTGGGTAAGCCAAAGAACGTAAAAATCTGGAGTCGTAAGTTTCTAAGCGATTAGACAAACACTAATGGTGAAAATGATTGGAATAAAGATATGTCTATCACTCATTTGACTGCTTCAAAATTATACGCAGTTTTTAAATTTAAAAAAGGCGTTTTTAACGCTTTTTATTTGGGGGATAGGGGTTGAAAACCAAAGGCGTATGCCAAACATCCGGAGATAAAGTTAAATAAAATTGAATATAAACACTTTTTTTAAAAGTTCTTACCGACAACATTTTCTGCAAAATTATTTAATCTGTACAGGAGTTTTCTTGTGATGAAATTATTGGCTTAGTGTATGTCCCCACCCCGCCCTTTATTGACGCCGGCACTGATGAAAGAGATTTATAAAAAAAAAATAACATAAGTGCCCCCAGTATATGTCACTGTATATGAATGCTTATAACATTATCTAAAGGTGGCAAACCGTTGTAAGCCACTTTCGGTTATCGATTGACAATTATATTCGAAATCATGTTTTACTTAGCTTTCTATGACCAATTCGGGAAGTACTTGTAACAATTATTGCTCAAGTTTCCGTTTGATTGTTCTTTTTTTTTTAAAGAGCTTCTGAATAGCAATAATCAATCTGTGACTCGTTAAGTTTAGCTTTGTCCATTTGTTAGCTATCATCTCTTTAGACAGACAACGAGAAGAAATTTAGCTAGCACCATGATGGCTTTTAACGTCGGTCTATTTAGTCTCCCGTGTGTGATATGTTGTCTTCTTTTACCCTTGACATTACAGACGTTAAGAAGAGATTCTTTACTGACCCCTTCAACATCTGATTGGGAAACCTTGGGATGTGAACTGAATATTGAGCTAAAGACAGCTTCCTGTGGGAGCAGGGGTCTTAATTCTGTTCCTCAAAACCTTTCTGAAGATATTCTGCGTTTTGACTTGTTTCGGAACAACATCACTTCTCTCTTGAGCTGGTCGTTGAAGCGATATCCTCTGGTCACTCGTTTGGACCTTTCCCGAAATGACATCAGGGCGATAGAACGGACCGCTTTACACCCCCTCAACGATCTGATGTTCCTAGATTTTTCCTTCAATCCACATCTTGTGCTTCCAGATGCAGGCCTTCTTAGGTGGAATAGAAATCTGTCTACTCTGAACTTGCAGTCATCGAACTTGCAATCGCTCCCAAACGACATTCTAAAATGGAGCCCACGGTTGGAACTCGTGCAACTTTACCTCAATCACCTCGAAGTCGTCAATGTCAGGTCTTGTGGTACATCCGAGACTGTTACTTTGTCAGACAACCAATTTGAACATATTAATGCAGACTCTTTCGATTTGGTGTGTCACATTGGACATTTAGACCTATTAGGTAACCCTTTACTGTCGGTTGACCCGAATGTAGTCAAATTATTACATGTCCATACATTGTTTGTTGGAGACTATCCCTTGACATTCGATTTTTTCCGAGACTTGTTCTCCGGAATACTGGATTCTGAAATAAAAGAAATTCTGATAGTGAATGCCTCTATTACTGCCTTTCCGGACAATTTCTTTGATCCATTGCTTGATTGGCCAATCCATATTCTTGAATTCTCATACATGTATGACGAAGTGAATGTTCTGTATCCTTTCGTCTTCTCGAATTTAACTAGAGTCTATGAACTGTCATTCGACAATGATTATATAACCAGGATCGAACCGGACTACTTTGAGGGTATGCTGGACTTGAGAATTCTGAGAGTGGAGTATTGCCAGTTAAAAGACGTAAACACTGATAGTCACACTTGGACTGTAGATTTAGTCGAACTGCACTTACCTGGCAATTCTTTGACAGAAATTAATCCACGTACATTTCTCGGTCTAAGGAATTTGACCTACTTGAACCTGTACTCCAACGAACGCCTTGCTACCTTTAAACTAAACTCTTTATCGGGACTTGATAAGCTCCAAGCCATCAATATATCTGAATGCGATGTATTTACAATGCGACTGGACGCCCCCGCTTTAAAATGGCTTTCCATGAACAATGTGTATTCCCCCTGGAGCCCTTTGGAACCCGGAGAATCTTTTGAAGAAACGAGATCTCTTGTGAGTTTGGATTTAATTGAATCGATGATTGATGTATCGAATCTTTGGAATGCCATGGGGAATATATCTATTTTTGATAGATTGTTTAACCTAAAAACCTTGGATCTGAGTGAGAATCCTTATCTTGGAAAGGGGTTACCCCCTTCCATCTTCAGACAGCTGTCCGCTCTGCAAGAACTGAGTATAGAGGAATGCGATATTTCTAACCTGCATCACCTAACTTTCTTTGGGTTGATATCGCTCGAGAAGCTTAGTTTAAGAGGAAACAACATTCACCAACTTCATCAGGATTTACTTCAAGGGTTGGTTCAAGTCAGAAGCATTAACCTTCAAGGAAACTTCCTATCGTATCTCGATGGAGCTATATTTTCAAACAATGCAAAACTTACAACTCTGTCATTAGCCAATAACAAATTGACCAGTCTCAACAAAAGCACTTTCCAACCAATCAAACCCTCTCTTTCTTCCATAGATCTTTCAAACAACCCAATCAATTGCAACTGTGATTTAAAGTGGCTTCTTGATTGGCTAAGTGGCCCTATACACGTGGTTAAAACGGATGAGACTATATGTTCGTTAGCATCTTTAGATTCCGTTGGGGAGAAACCTTTGCTTGATTTTGATCCCAATGAAATATGTGGGCTGAACATTCTTTTGTTTTGTGTGCTTTCACTCGCCGCCATTTGCTTCTTGGTCGTTGTGGGATTCGTGTATCACAATCGATGGCAGTTAAGGTTCAAACTCTATCTCTTGAAACTGGCGGTCCTCGGGTACAACGAGCTACGGGACGCTCGAGACCACAACGACTACGAGTTTGACATGAACATCATCTTCTACGACGACGATGAACATTGGATTCGCGAACAGCTCCAACCGGCTTTTGAAGAACGGCTACCGCAGTTCGAGAGAAACGTGGTTGGCGATGACGACCTTGTTCTAGGAATGCACTACTTGGATTCGGTTGACTACGTGGTTAGCAGGAGTTACAAGACTGTCATAGTGCTCAGCAGAGCCGCCGTTCGCGATCGCTGGTTCATGCTCAAGTTCCGTATTGCAATGGACCATGTCAGTGACACCCAGACCGAATTCGTTGTGGTGGTCTTCCTCGAAGACATCCCAGACGATGAGATACCGTTCCTGGCGAGGTTGTATCTCAGTGATGGTAGACCTTATCTTCACTGGCCAAATGACGAAAGAGGACAAGAATATTTCTGGAATGAAATAGTCAAAAGTTTGACCATTAATCTAAGGACCAACGATTTGCTTCCGAATGAGTAGAGTGTACACCATAAAGCATTATGATCGATGAAGCAGATATTGTCATCTCAGTCTTCGTAATGTTTGTACGCCAGTTAATTGTTTCCTCTTTTGTATCCTTCTAATTTACATACAGTTTATTCTAGCGTTTGACAAGTATTCACTTCAGTTATCATTGTTATTTAGACATGTTAGTAGCAAGATAATTTTTCTTTAATATGTGTAAATTATAAGAAGGACTAGCCTGAAGACCAAGGCAAAGATCGAGATAGATTTACTTCTCATTGATACATACATGCAAATGAAAGATCGATGATTAATGATGAGTTCTTTGCTCAATTATGTTTTGTAGGTAGCTTGTAATTTTCCGAAGGTTCCTAATCCCGAAAATCAAATATAACCCTCTACCGTTTTCGGAATTACGAACATCCGAAATTATGAACCCTCTTTCATTTTCGAAATTAGGAAACTTATTCCATTTTCAATCATGTCAATTGTTTCGTTAATAAGGGAGTTTACAGATAGCACATGGAACAAATGACCCCAAATATCCATAGATCTTGCACATGGAGAAGTTCCAATTTGAGCATCTTTGAATAATAACTGCCATAGTCCTAGACGTGCTTCATGAATACCTTTTGTTTGACCTCTTGAAAAGAATACTTCCACCTGCGTATCATAGAATGTACCGTTGGTGCATAAATTAATAATGTTACATAACTTTCATGAGCGCATATCATTGTATTCATCCCTGGGGTTTTTACCATTTTGGTACAAATTACCTTTATTTGCCTATGCGCAGATTGTATGTGTAAACTCCCTTATTGCTAAAGTACGTGACACCGAATTGCCCAATGTCTTAGAGATGCCATAATATCACGTCAAATGGTGCAATGGGTGTGTCTTATGTACACATAGCCTTTTACACTATGCATATCGTCAAACAATAATTATTCATGTATCTGTATGTTTGTTTGTGTGATGTATATCCTTAAATTCTTCCTGACAATCTTGCCTACAAGAAAAAATTAGTGACCAATCTATTTCATCAAGTCATTTATGTATAAACATTTATAGCATTTTTTATTTGTTTGTATTTACAAGTATCTTTCTTTGATTAAAACTTTAAAAAATGCATGTAGCTGTAGCATTAGTTTTACAGTGTACAGTGTGATTGTTTATTGTGCATGAGATCAGCTTGTTAGATGGTAAAATCAGTGTAATGTTATAATTCTACTTTCACTATGTACTTATTATTTGGTACAGGCGTATTTACTTCTTTTTGCTTTTTGAGTTAAGGATTTACAATTTTCATTGGAAATAAATTTTCTTCATTCAAGACAACATTTTCACTCTGATACTTGCAGTGTGTTTAGTATGTATGTATAGAATTGTATGGGTGTACTATCGTAATTTGTAAGAGTTACAGACTTAACAATTACTGTACCCTCTTGACTGTTGGTTTTAATGTTTATAGTGAGGAAATCAATTTTATTTGCTTTCAGCTGTCTACCAGTTGTGCTTTTGATTTCATTGTTATCATCTTTTAACGGAACTATGAAAGTATGAAAATGATTTTAGTTTAGAGACTGTTAGTGTTAATGCTTGCAAGTAAGTCATTTGCTTGTATACCATAGTTGCTTTTATATTGATATTGGAAATAATAGTGGCATTTGACAAATTTGTTAATTTTTTTATCTAAATGATTTGTAAACATTTTCTTTTTGTACAACCTGTTTAATGGTTTGTTCGAATATGATAAATAATTTTTGACCGCCGCCAAAAAAGCCTGCCACGTTATTTTTTAACGCATAAATTAATGGCAAGTACATGCAACAAGGCCTGTGTTCATACACTATACAGCTCAGTGTTCTAAGATGAGAAATGTGATGGGTATTACACTTCACTTCATCGTTAAAAAAGAATCCTGATATTCAAATAAGGCCTTATTATCACCTGAAACAAAAGAGAGGTGCATTTAGATTATTTGTAATGTTTCTGTGTTTCATGCATATTAAAAGTATTTATGTAGCATGGAAAACAATACATTGTCAAGAGAGAAATTTTGGTCATAGATTTATTTTTCACCCATTCCATATGTCATTGCCTTTCAACATAGATACCGTTTAAAATGTTTTCTTCTTTCTTGTACTGTATGGAAAAGAGGAGAAGGATTCTTCAGCTACATTTGGGGACCATTAATTTTAAATCAGTGGGAACATTGAGGGTTAATTGAAGGAAGGCTTGCAGTAAATTTTGTGGCCATCTCTATATAAGGAGGCGCTTTCGGTATGGTTCACTCTTCTCTTTAAGAGAAAGAGTTTGGTGTAGAACCTGTCTATAAAGAACACCTTGTCTACAGTTGCCATTGTAGCGGCGGGGGGGGGGGTCCGGTGACATTTGTAGACAGTTTGGCCTGGAGGAAGAAAATTAAGAATTTTGTGCAGATGACTTCATCGAAAAATGTTTGGGTGATATTTAGAACAGATTTAGAAAAAACAATAAAGTATTTTCAAATTTAGTATATAATCGTGAATGACATTCTAAGGGTAGTTTTGAGACAAAATCGCTAACTGTATGTTATGACAAATGTTTTTGTTTATTTAAAGAAAGAAGCAAGGTTATGCTGAATGTGGGATAGTGACTATAACGTCTGGATTACCCGATAGCTTAACTTTTAGATGTGTTTTTTTTTTTTTGTGTGAGACAATCGGGTAGAAAGCGAATGCTACAAAGAGCATCATGTAAGATGTTAGAGGAATGAACTCATATAGGAAATAGATTTTTCTTCAAAATGGCTTCATTGTTATTTCTTTCTCTCAATAATGCATCAATTTAACTAGATATATCTGCAAATCAATAGAAAATGCAGCTCATAGATTGCCATTTTGAAGATTGATGATTATTTTTGTATAGCTATTCTACTTTTTAAACCGCATTTCATACTGCACTGTTAATGGACCTTACTTTTGCAGCTATTTTTGCTCCTGTATCAGCAAAAAGTGAATTATAACCCATTTACTATACTGAATTCTCTCATTCCCATTGTTTTTAATAAAGGAGCCCAACGATTCCATAGGCAATGAGTTCAATGTTGTTTCCGGAATAATGGAGTATGGGTACGAAAATAGTAATTGGGATTCAAAAGCCCTGAAGCAAAAGACATTAATGCCCTTTTTTCATGCCTGGAATGAAAATTATTGAACTTTGAAGAATTTGTCTACAGATATTTTAGCATGTGATAGGCGCTCTATGCGGTATTTTATTCCCATCTTTCACGAGTTATGTTGTTAAGATATTAGTGGTAGATATTTAGTGACATATGATATGATGCAAATCATCTAAAGATACACACATAGATTTGGGTTCAACGTTTGGCAACTGAGTCTTTGCACATTGCAAGTTAGCATGAAGTTATAGATTATATAACATAGCTACTTTTTAGAATGACATAAAAGAGTTATGAAGAAAGTATATGGATACCTAAATACGTTTTGTATTTGAAAATGTAGTTTTATTTGTACTTTCCTATTTGTGTGTTCCATGGATATGCGGCTTTACGTTGCTCCAAAGGCCAATTATATGATTATAGCCAGAAGGGTGTTAACTATCTGGCTCTTGATCATACACTAACAAATGCTTAGATTTAAATGTGTATGTTATCACAAATATGTATAGCAAATAGCACACTATTTTATATATAACCTGTCTCTTTCAATTCAATACTAATACTTGTAATTTACTAATTATGGAAATATGCAACTTTGAATTATAAGAGAGTGAATAGTATTTTGTTATGAATGTTCGAGTCATTTTACAATGTTTTATATATAATTATATATAGAGAGAAAAATATGTATACCTTTCATACATTGATCTTGTATAGATGATGTAATAAAATATGTAATCATTGATATCTAGACATATTTTGTGTAGACCCAAATCTCTATTTTGTATGATTGAATACAAACTTTGATTAAATGCTGCTTGTAAGTGTCGGCTTGCATAGAATTCAAACTTTGATTATATTTTTTGTATTTTTGCTCGATTGTAAATTAAGCCTTGTATGATGATGTTAAAAACTTTGTAAATCTTCCACTTCATGTTAATAATTATTCAATGCTAAAAATAAAACTTGCACTCAGATCAAACACAATTATGTGTCTATGTAGCCGTTGTGATTATTTGTTTGTGTGTAGAGAAAGGCAGAACAGAAAGGGACACGCATGATAGCTAATTCGAGCCATAATCTTAACTGAATTTAGGCGGAGGCTTATTTGAGACACAGTCGCATTTATCTTTAAGAAATTATAGATCACCCATAGAAAATATTGGTTTCTTCAAGAATATTTCGTCTTTGGCTCATAATTGACGCATGTAAACAAAATTATCGGTACATATAAATTGTCCAATATAAAATTTGTGTTGAACATCCTTTTTTTTCCTTGCGCATATATATATTTGTGTGCCCATGCCTTGAGCCATAATGCATGGCCGTATACAGAGGATTTTTGTAAGGTTGGGGACCGGAGTAAAATCAGGCGCGTAGCCAGGGGGGGGGCGGTGGGGGCGGTCGCCCCCCCCCCCCAAACGCCGGCCAAAAAAAAAAGAGAGAGAAAGAGAAGAAAAAAAGAAAGAGGACGTAGGAAGAAAAAGGGAAAAGGAGTCGAGAACGGTACAATGAATCGTCAAAGCTTCCGCGCTTTGCGCGGGAAGGGGGAAACTGAGTTCAAATTAAGAAATATGAGTCGGGAAAGGTACAACGAATTGTCTTCTTTCTCTAATAATTTAATGAAACGTCAAAGCTTCGCGTGAGAGAGGGGAGGGACTGAATACAGATAAGGATTAAGAGTCGAGAGAGGTACAACGAATCGTCTTCTTTCTCTAATAATTTAATGAAACGTCAAAGCTTCGCGCGAGAGAGGGGAGGGACTGAATTCAGACAAGGATTATGAGTCGAGAAAGATACAACGAATCGTCTTCTTTCAAAGCTTCCGCGCTTCGCGCGGGAGGGGGGAAACTCCCCCCTCCCTGCACCCATCCCCCTAGGGAGCGCGCTTCGCGCGCTTTTTAAGTGATTCGTACACTTCGCGTGCTCACTACCGCCCCCCCCCCTAACATAAAAATTCTGGCTACGCGCTTGAGTAAAATGCAATTAATTATTGAAAATTTATTGCATTTTCATTGTTTTTTTTTCTTCATTTGTGGGAACTGCCCCCTACCCTAGCCCCCGCTGCGTACAGTCATGGTTCAGTGACAAAGCAATGGCCTCGTAACTGTGAGGCCCCATGATCAAAACCGTGTCGATGTGCCATTTTAGTGCCCTTTTGTGGGGCATTAATCCTCAATACTGTCATTTATGACTTAAGGGCGTAGGTCCCCTAGTTGATAAGCATAGTAGCATACACATGCCTTAGCAGTCATGCAAAACAAACACTGGCAAATTATTATTCAATAAAATATATACTATTATCTAGATCTATTAGGAATAAATCATTGTCAAAATAATTCCATAAATGAAATTGTGGTAAAAAAAAAATATTCCAACTACCGTATATGAGCGACAGTGTAGAATATATTTTTATCAACATCGAAAATGTTTTAATATCATAAATATATTTTTTATAAACATCGAATATATTTTAATTGTGCATATGTATTTTTGTTATAAACGTGTTATTTGATACCGACCCATATATTTTGAGGGATCGAATAAATTCATTTCCCCCCTATGGCTTTCCATAGACGTCTCATACAAATCGTAATGGCGCCCGTATCCAAATTTCTAGTCTAGTCAACTTGCGAACGAGCATATATTCCTTGCCATGGACCAAGAAATGAGAAAGCTAGTGAAGCGATTGACACAATTTCAGGTAGCTATATTACATATTTATGTCAAACGTTGTTTGATTTCTATTTCTAATAAATATTTTTATCTTAATTAGCTGGGCTTGAATTGATTTGGTGGGACGATCGACGAACGGTTTGGTCCCCCGACGGGCTGGCGTAGCGTAAGTGGAGCGATCCGATCATTTCGAGCTAGATCTAAATATTTAGTTACCATGTTACTGAGTCTACTACTAGCCGTAGGTCTACCCTGAATAGTGGAGATCTAGAAGTCTAGCTAGCATTAACTTTATTACACTCTGAGTCTGAGACACCATTTTTATTTTCAGTTAGTTTCGAGCACGAGCGTTAATTATGCTATCTATCTAACTTAGACTTCTACTAGATCTAGAGTAAAGGAGCCGGTAATCGGACAGCTCCAGTTTTCGGCCGATCCATTGGATGCATGGTAAAATCCCTTTAAAATACATCGCATATAGCATATCACATATCCCACACATACCATACCATGCCAGAGTCACTGAAGAACCACATTTGCAATGGAAAATATATCCTAAAATATCACATTTTAGCGATGTAATCGGCGGTCCCGCTACCCAAATCTGAAAAATCGAGTTTCTTACGCGTGTATGTAAGAAATATGGGTACCATAAAATGAGCTTTATTTCAAGTATTTTTCAGGCCTAATTTAAAATTGGATATGCACGAGGTAAAATGACATTTTGGGGAATTTGGGGGGCATAACAATACGGCCGTGGCAAGTTTGTCATGTTTGTGGGAGGGGCCTAGCGGCTAAAATCTAGCCGTGATATCTTCAACATACGATGGTATAGGCGATCCTTCAGTCTCTATAACCGGAGGTCTAGTGGAGCCAGATGTAGTCTCAGTGGAACAACCGACGATTATAGAGACTGAAGCTTTCAGTCTAGAGTAAAGCTAAAGGAGGGGGTAATCGACCATCATCAGTTTTCGGCCGATCCGTTGGATGCATGGTAAAATCCCTTTAAATACATCGCATAAATAGCATATCACATTTCCCACACATACCATACCTGCATACCATGCCAGAGTCACTGAAGAACCACATTTGCTGAGGAAAATTTATCCTAAAATATCACATTTTAGCGATGTAATCGGCGGTCCCGCTACCCGAATCTGAAAAATCAAGTATCTTACGCGTGTCTGTAAGAAATATGGGTACCATAAAATGAGCTTTATTTCAAGTATTTTTCAGATTTAGAGCCCGATTTTGTGTTAGTCGCAAGCTCAAAAGTATCTCATCGCAATTAAATCAATGCAGCCAGACACCGCAATGCACACACGATATCTCTGTCTAATTCAGATTCCAATTTCCGATCACCGCAGAGGTAGTTTTCGGCATGGCAAGCACCGGGGAGCTCCGGCGTGGGATACCTGCTCCGCCCGCTAGAGCTATAGATCAGCGCAGAAACGCACAGCACGCGTGCACGCACGCTTCCTAGGTCCACGTGACTTAGGTCTAGCCTAGATCTACATGTAGTACATGCACTTAACTCATTACATAACGTTCAAAATTTGAAACTCTACTTTTCAATTCCTGACAATGATTTTTCAGTTCAATTCTTGCCATTTTTTCCCCAAGACATTATGCACTCAGAGCAAGATTGGTCATTAAAACCTTTATTGAAGTTGTTAATAGAAAAAAATTAGAAACAACATAAAAGATGAGGCTAACGTTAGCATAAAATTCAAATGAAGCTACCTGGACAAGAAACTAATAATCAGTTCTAGTTAATTCTAAATATTGAGATTACAAGTCGGGGACAATAGTTATATTGATCTTCATATTTTGTATGTTTATCTTAACGATGCAGGAAGGTTCAGAGAATTTCAGACGAACACTTCAGTTTGTGCAGTCCAACTTTAGATTTCATCGCTATCTGGACCCAGACAGCCACAAAATTACAAGAACTTTCAAAGGGTAAGGAAATCGGTGCAATCAGGTGAATGCACTGCACTGTGTGCAGCTGTTTCATCCCCCCCTCCCCTTGACTTTCAGTTCGGAACCCTATTTGAGACATGTTATGACATCATATGAATAAAGTGAGTTTGTGTACTTTGTAATGATAATAACTGAATGGATGGAGATCAGTCATTCTTTCAAAATAAAGTCAGTGTTCTTCTTCTTCAGGTTACATCAGCCCCCTTCTGGTTTGTAGATTCTTACAGGCCCTTCATGGGGGAAAAGTACCAGTTTTTCTCTCTAGAAGCCCATCCAATTTCTATTACATATTTTGATGTACCAATGCACATTGTCAGTGAAATCTGGAATATCCTTAATGAGAAAGTGTTCAATAGCTCAGCCAAATGAAGTCACACAAAAAGAGGCATCCGAAATGCAAAATTGTTGAAAATCATGACCAGAAGTAGAACCACATCGTTGGGATAGGGAGCTGGTTAATACCATTTTGATGAGGCTTAATGTTAGCTGGATTTTCATTTAACTATGTCAAAAAAGAATTTCAATTAAGAAACATCACTATGACTTTTGCATTCTGTTTGCATCTTTTTGTGCCAAGTTTCGCTATGCTATCCTACAAAAGATGATACGCCATGCAATTCGATAGAAGAGCTGTGAGTAGTTGGGTAAGAAGCGGTAATACAGAAATTGAAGTTTCAATCATCTGGCTCTGCTTGTCATATTTTTTTTCTTTCTTTCATTTTTTCTTTTTCTTCAGAATTCGAGAGAAATTGTTGATCCACTCCCACTCAGAGAAAGCTTCTGCTCTCGATAGATCTGTGGAGACATTCTTGGAAACTCCCCTCTCAGAGAAAAGTAAACATAACAAGGTAACAAGCTGGAGAATGATCTCTTTGCACAACACAAACCATCAAATTAAATTTTCTTTGAGCAGACTTATTAACCTGATGCAAATCTAGGCGGACAGCAGTGCATTTTCCATTCCATTCAGGGTTTGAAGGATATCAAATGAATGAAGATTTAAGAAGATGTTGCAGCATTCAGTTAATCTTTCAAACTTGAATCTTCACATTGTTTATGAGCTAATGATACCTGTAAGTATAGGAAAGCGTTTCAGGATCCCTTTTAAGGAGAATGCAATTCTTAAGGAGGGAAAATATATTGTAAAACTTCTGATGTCAACTGAATGTGGACTTCTTGTTTAGACTGATTATCTTGATACAAAAAAACTATGTTTGTATCAAGTTTGTAAACTAATTTATTGTCCCTTTGCCTACAGGGGATGAGAGGTCCCTGTATTAACTCTTTATATACCACACAGTGATCCGTTTTTGCTACATTGTGTATATCCTGGGATAGATAAACCAAAGGCTTCAAGATTATTTAACTGTTTCCAGCGCAATATTAATCTACACAGGTGTTAAATGGGTTATCATGGACCTAATCAAGATCAGAAATGGGTAATATTGCAAAATCTTTGTTTTGCACAAAGCAATCCTTCAATCAATTATTACAACTTAATGTTTTGTGCAAGATTGCATGTGTGGCAAACCAGCGACAAAGCGGAAAGGGCAGAGAAAGCAACTGAAGTGTTAAGCCTCTGGGAATGAGAGAATCCAGTGGTCAGCAGGTTAATATTTGGAAGATAGTCGGTCTCATCTCAGACCAAAAATATGTTCAAATCTATTTACATTGTTTTATATATATATATATATATATATATATGAAAAAATTGATATGTGCAGGATTTGCTAGCATTGAAAGGGTTGGATCATACAGTATGATTTGAGTTCATGCATTTTGGATTATTATGCATTTTCATAGACTTCATCTAGGGTTATTCTGTGCATGATATTCAACGAGTTTAATTTTTTTTTTTTAAATCAAACTTCCTACAAGATTTATCGTTAATTTGTTTCGTTATCACAGACCGAGGGCCACTATGCAGTGCTGTCACTTTTACTCAATTTATCAAACTCTCCTATAAATGCTGCGTTTCAAGCAAGGGCACCGCAGCATGAACCAGGTGAGAAATTCAGCTAAAATAAGATATTAGTTTATCAATATTCACAGTGGTTATCAGATGACATATTCAAATTCTTAGTTTAAAAAAATATCAGCAACATACTTTTATGTGACCTGTTGGATCAAAACAATTTTTAGTAAGTTACAGATGTATGTATTGACGTCTTAATACATGTAATATGATAGTAATGATCATAATAACAATGATGATAAGAATAACAATCATTTGTGTTTTTGCTACATATATTCATTATGGAGCGTCATTGATCTTCTAAAATATAAGCAGTCATATTTCTTTTGCCTTAAAAATCTTCAATCGGTACCCATTTGAAAATACTTTTTTTTTAGGGGGGTTAATCAACTTTACCTGGAAATTCATTGAAAACTATATTCTTCTGGAAAGTCATGGTAATCCATAGAAGTTATGAAAATTGTAAATGGAGGCAGAGACCATTACTAATATGAAATGATATATATCACTGTGTGGTGTTTGTATGCTACATGCATACAAAAAGGTACTTATTTGGCCATGGAAAAAGGAAAAAGTGGGTCATGGAAAGTCATAGAAGTTGGTTCTCAAATTTTCTGTGAGGACCCTGATATGGTCTAGCAATTGACAAGTCATTGTTTATCGGTGATTGTTCCCCCAGTTCTTGTTTTCATCCCAAAGAAATTTGTGTTGTGATTAATGTTTTGTCCTATTTCTATGCAGCCCCTGAACCAAAGTTTGACTGGACTAGGTACTTACTGGAAGGACTAGAACCCATCAAATCATTCCAAGATTCATCTGATGAGGTAACAAGTAATGATAGTACTTGTAATGATGGTGATACAAATGATAACTATATACGTAATGATGATAATACTGATGATGATACTGATAGTTGTACATGTAGTAGTAGTAGTAGTAGTAGTAGTAGAAGGGGTAGTAGTGGTGGTGGTGGTGGTAGTAGTAGAAGGAGTAGTAGTGGTGGTGGTGGTGGTAGTAGTAGAAGGAGTAGTAGTGGTGGTAGTAGAAGTAGTAGTAGTACAGTGTAGTAGTAGTAGTAGTAGAAGTAGTAGTAGTAGTAGCAGTAGTTGTAGTTGTAGTTGTAGTCGTGATGATAAGGTTATGGTAATAACAATAGTAATAGTTAGATTTATATTCATGAATATCATTTTTTTAAGATGATGAAGCGGATCCTAATCAAACAATTTTTTGAGAGTGTACACATGACCAGGCATTTATTTTGCCTAACACAAAATTTTACTAATGACCGTTCATTAGGTCATTTTATAAAACAAATAAAACATCATCTTATAAAACAAATAATACACATCATTCAGTTCGGGTATTAGTAAAATTACCCACACCCTGTACCGGTACCTTTGAAACCGTCCAAACACTCTCGGCTATTGCCTCAGGCATGTTAGACCCCTGTTACAGTGAGCAAAACGCCGGGCCAGGCCATGGCCTGGCCTAGCATTGTAAATGCGCAAAAGGCCAAATGCGAGGCCAAACTGGCTGCGCATTTGGCCCTGCTCTGGAGGTCGGCCGCGGCCTGGCCCGGCCTTCTCTCACTGTAAACGCACGCAGGGCCAGGCCGCGGCCCAACTGTTACCCTGGAAGTGAAAGTTCGCCGTGTATAGGAAATTGGGGAAAAGATTCACTGCAAATCGCGTGCGACCCCCGGCGGGCCCCCCAAATAATCGTTTGTTACATGCAGAGCCCCACTCTGACAAAATATTGAAAGGTTACAATTAAGGCCGTGGCCTGGCCTAGCACTGTAAACGCACAAAATTGCGGGGCCGAGTCGGCCTGGCCCGGATCTGGCCCTTTTCTCACTGTAAACGGGGTCTTAGACTGTTTCAAAAGCTTGTGTGGCAGGGCATGTTTTTTTTTATGTGGCTCCAGCGGAGTAGTCCAGTACGAATAGGGCCAACAGGTAATTGGAGGCCCTTCTTGGAACACATTGCACATTCTTCTCGGTGAATGTGATCGGGATCACCACGGAGAGAGAAGTTTCCCCGAGACCCCCCTCTTACCTGTTACCAACACGTCCGCGATGATGTGCCTTCCGTGATGTCCAGAACGTTTGGTATATACTAACGAAAAAATTGTGTAGTCGACTGCCCCACCAGAAATATTTTGCAAACCATTTCTGCGTGGGCGATCTGATACGTATTACCTAATGGAGGTTCCCCGTACAGGAGTTACTCAAAGTCTGGCTGGATTCTCCGGAGCTGGTTTGTCAGCTGGCCTGGCACCCGAAGTACGCGCGTATCGGGAAGCTCTCGGGGGAAACCAGTTACGCCGATGCCTCGTCACGATACTCAACCTACGAGTAGCGTGGACGCAATTGAAGGAGATGTTCTGATACTTCGATTGTTGAGCTGAACTTGGGTTTTTGGTCTGCAACGCCAAGTTCGTAGGGAGCAACCTTCGGCGGGAGACAAGTTGAGATAAGGAGTCAAGTTGAGCTGAGGTATGTTTTGAAACCAAAGATGTTGGCAGAAGTTGCAAAGTGGACAGTGAGAACTGAAATGAACCGATAAATTGAAACGTCCTTTGAATCTTGATATTTTTGGATTGATGTCTTAGATTTTTTGAAATTATTGTAGTGTAAGACTAAGTGTTGGAATATTGTGTGTTGGTGAAATTATTTGTACCCGTTTGCTCTTCAAATTTTGGCTAGCATTAATGTAAGCATAGGATAGTTAATTTAAACTTAAACCTACGTTTAACCTAAATTAGTATAATATAAGCACTTAATATTAATAGTTTCATAATGATTGAAATGGAAAAGTTAGTAACCGGGCTAACCCAAGCTTTACAGGGTTGTAGGTTTACTACATCCGGTCCAGTAAAATTACGCAAATTTCATGGTAGTTCTTCTCGGGCCGATGACCCGACTTTAAAGGAATGGCTAGAAGACGTAGAATTTTATTTTGATCAAGCACATATTCCAGAAAGCCAACAACCTTCCGTTATTCTCGCACACTTAGAAGGGTCTGCCAGGGCTGAGGTTAGGTGCCATTCAGGTATCGAGAAAGATAGAAAAAAATTGATTCAGATATTGGAACAGTATTTTGGCCCCAGAGAAACTGTCCAATCTTTACAACAGGCTTTTTACGATAGGGTGCAACAAGATAATGAATCTTTGGTCGAGTTCTCACGAGAACTTATTCAATTATACGACCGTGCGGTTGATAAAGCTTCTAAAACAGAAGCACAAGCTCTCAAGGTTTTGCGAGATAAGTCATTGATAGGGCAATTTGTTGCGGGAACCAAACACCCAAGTTTTCGTTTAGAATTAAAACGAATACAAATGAGTTCGGAAGAACAATCCTTTGAAGATGTGAGGGAAGTGGCTTTGGGGTTGTTGGGTGAATTCGAGACTCCTAAGGGTAGGAGGGGAGTGGTCAGAGAACTTCACCTTGGTTCTATTTTAGAAGATCAGAGTCAAGCACCACAAGGTGCAAGTGGAGATAACTTGGCCATTAAACTCCTATCAGCAATGGAAAAATTGCAACAAAGTTTAGATCAATTGTTGCGTCAGAATTCCTCCACTTCCCAATCTCCACCCAATTACCTTCCAAATAACACATCTCAATCTCAATTAAGCAAGGGTGCTTGCTGGCGTTGTGGGGGGTTTGGTCATTGTGCGAGATCCTGTTCAGTAATTGTAGAGAAAAGAGTTAGCCGAAGCCGATGGCAGGGAAAGGGTCGTTCTCGGCCACTACCAGGGGCCAGGTAAAAATTTGGAAGAAAATGAAGTATGTATTTAAAGTAAATTGATAAAGAAAAGTCCCAAGGCTACTGTTTTGTTAGCCAATACTCCTTGTGAGTGCATTTTGAACTCCTAAGGGTAGGGTGGGAGTACTTGTAGTTAGGTCATTGGAGGAAAAGTTTGGTATTTTAATTCTCTTTTGCGACTAAAAAGGCATTGAGAATTCGGTAATAAAATATAAATGTTTTAAATGTTTGCTAACATTCAAATTCATATAGAGGCTGGGCGCTCCTTGGGAGAAGATGTATATTAAAGATGTTTCGTTTATTAATTTGCTAAGTTAGCTGCACCGTTGATTCAGTTCAACTAATTCTCCCTTTAGTAAAAGGACAAAAAAGAAGGGAAAACTATTTAAGCTTGAGTGGATTATTCTAACGAATGATTCATTTAATTTACTCAAAGAAGTTGATTCAGGCACCAGTTAGTTATCCGGGTTTTTCATAGGGTTTTGTTTTTAGAAGTTGATACAATTGCCTAAAGGTTAGGGCCTTGCCTATCACAAGTAGGGGAGGATAGAAGGCGTCATTATTTAGCATATGCTAATAGACCATTGAAACATACAGAAGAAAAATGGACAGTAGTGGATAATTTAGAGATCACTTATTTGGAGCCCCGTTTGTTATATTTACTGATAATGATTTGTTAGCTTATTTATAAAATGCTTAACTAGGAGTTAGGATGAATTCAGGGTTGAATGTTTTGGAGAGGGGGGTTATCCTCTGATATGATACGATCCTGTCTCATAATGTTGGTATATAGTGGGCATGATATCTGGGTATGATATTTTGCTGAATTCTGCATTATTTCAATGTATCGAAATTTATAAATGCAAATATGTTGGTGCTTTAACTTGTTAGGTTTGTTTACACGCATTTAATATTGTAAAGATGGAAGGTGACATCATACGGAGTGCGCTGTGGAGGTCTTGGGAAATCCAGTTCCATTAGTTGTCCTGTATGTTTTTCCTGATATCATTCATATCTTTGCGAGGTACAAAATTATTGTTACCAGGTGATTTAACTTTTTTTTTAAGAAGCCATCCTGTGCCAAGTTGGCACTTAATATTTGTTTGGTAACTGTATATATAAAAAAAGATAAAATTAAACAGTTGGAGTCTACATTAAGTAGATATTAAATAGTACATTATGTGACAAAATAGATTTGTCTGAGTTTTATAATGTTAGTTGGAAGTAGATTCGATGAGATAATTATAGACTGCTGGTTGTTGCGACTGGGGATTTTGAGATAATTATGATACATGTGCAGGTTTATGAGAAAGGGTGTTAATTGTATGTATATAATAAGGCATGTTTAGTCTTGCTTCCAGTGAGATGTTTGGTTTTCATGGTGACGATGTTGATTGTTCAGTTGAACTTTTTCTCATGGGGGTTTGAGGAAAGAATGGAATTAAGGAATATATGCATGTAGGTTGTTTGTAATGTGATTAACTGTTATCTATAGCTTTGGGTATCATATGCCGTTGGTTGTGTTATATTATTTATTATTACAATTACCAGTTGACCTGGCACGATATCATTGTGTTGTCATTTTCGTGGTTATACCCTTCCATGTTTGGGAGCAGTTAAAATCGAGGGATGATGTTTGTGCCTGCCTTTGATTTAGAGGTCTGGGGATATCCAGCTCCAAAGAAGAGGAAGGGCATGACGTCATCCTGACATTATATTCTGTTGGGTGGGTTATATTTGCAAGGTGGACAAGACATTACAATTGCAGGTCTTCCTGGTCAATTGGTTGTAAAATAAATAAATGTGGATATTGTTGTATAATGTAATTATGCATGAGTGTTTGACATTGCAAGGAGAATGTTAACTGTAATTCATTTAAAGTACATTTTTAAGTCAAAGTGTTGGTTAATGCAGCCCAAATATGCTGTATTGATAGTATATTGACAAAATTATGCTTTAAAGCAACACAAATATGTATTGCTTGATTAAATGATTCCCAGTTGGTAATCTAGTATTTTATCTTAATTTTGTACGATCTCCAGGTGCAAGATCGTTTTAGTAGGGGAGATTTGTAGTAGTACGCTCATTTGGGCTAAAGGGGGCGCTAGAGCCATATAAGAGCCGAACTGTATATTATTTGTATAATATAATGACTTACCTAAGAGATAATACATTCTTACCCACTGCACAGAGCAATGGCAAATGTCACGAAGTAAGAAAATTACGTATAATCGTGTGCAACCTTATGATTGACAATGATTTTACCTCGAAATATGCCGCAGCAAAATAATGTGTCGAGATATAAAAACAAAGGAAACCATATGGTGTTATGCTTAACTTTTTTTCTAAAAACACCCTTAATTGTTTCTCCCTTTTCAGGAGTGGTCAGATGAAGAAGAGGTTCCTCTTACTGATCAACGTCTGTCAAGAGAGGGTGCCCTTCAGGCTGATTCCCAGTATATCACTCCTTCAAGACGCCATGGAAGTAGCAAGCTGTATGGGGCAGGCTGGGAAGAGCTCAATGAGAGCGTTGTGGTACAGTACTGGCAGGGAGAGCAGGATTCTACGCTCCATAGTGATCATGTGACACATCACATGACCAGACAGTGGTAAGGGCCAGTATTAGAGCCTCTTGATCCATTTATTATCATGTAGTATCAGGCAACATGCTTATTATTAAAACTGACAGCAAATGGATTCCATATCTCGATGAATTTCCTCTTCTTGACATAGTTATAGAAATACATTAGTATTATAAGTGGATCAAGGTAAACTTGCTCACAAAAAATTCCTTTGAAAAAAGTAATTGTCATCTTTCATATTTTACGTTTCTTTGAGTGACAGGTTGTATATTACACAGGAAATGCCTTGTGTGTGAAATTCACAAAAGTAGGAATGCAACAATAGCAAGCCTGGTGATATTTACATTGCTGGAATGAAGCAACATGCCTGAAATCAACAAGGAAATTAATTTCTTGGCCCAAATTTGTAAACAAGGAGGAATGCGTAATTCACAAAGCTCTAGTAAGGGTGAAGAAATGAAGCCCATTGCAGCTCAACTTGTGATTTCATTTCTGAATTTAGGACCCTGAACTCCTTTTTGAAAAATAAGAAAAATAAAGAGAGAGAGAAATAAAAACTTGGTACCCTTATGTTCTTACCTATCTTTTATTTTGAGTGTTTTACTTCTTCAGTTTTATCCTATCAATTAATACAGGCAAGGTTATAGATTAGTTGGTTTATTTGAAATTATGGGTACATGAAACATGGCAAAAAGTTAAAATGATTCCTCTATATATTCATATCAATGAAGTATGTGGATACATTTCATATGGGAAATATTGCATAGAAATTGCCCAAATTATTTTTTGTCCACCTTAACTCGGCCTTTATTTAATATCTCCCATGGGTGCCCTTTTTAGATCAGGTTTTTTCTTCTGGTAACCATACTCTTATTTTTGTTTTCTTTCCCAGGAGTGAGAGAGAGGTTTCCAGTGAACCCTTCCTGTCTGACATACCAAGAACTACTATGACAGAAACACACATCATCAGAGAAACAATATGGTAGGTGTTACCTGCCGTAGGAGACCAGGGCCCTATTTCATGAGACTTGTTATCAATAAAAAGTTACAATAACTGTTATAAGCTACTGAAATTGTGGCATCTGATTGGCTGAGAGCTAATTTCCCATAGAAATTTAGCTTTTGTTATTGATAACAATTTTTATGACACAGGGCCCAGTGCTTGTTCAAAACAATAAGATGTAACAAAAAAGGATACAAAAACATACTGAGTATTTATTTGATTTGATTAACAATAACAATAGTATATAGAATATACATGTACATATTTTTTTATGAGAAAAGCTTACAAAAGAGCATAGTACAGTTCACCCTGCATAAGTTGAATCTGTTGGGAATGCAAAATTTGACTTAGGAACTGTAATAACAAATGTGATTCATAATTTGGTCCAATTTATTAAAAAATTTTGTTTTTACCTTAAAATTTTCATGTATATGTTTTATTTTTTTGATAAAGTCATCTTTTATGCACACTTTTGAATGAGTTATGTGGAAAAGAATTTATCAAATTTAATTATCTATTACCTTTGTGTCTATGTGTTTTGAACAAGGACGCTTCTAGGAGCAGGGAACTCTTTTCTGTATCAGAGGAGAGATGATGGTTACGTAGCAAGAGAGGATGTACAAGTCACACATCTTACTCCCGTAAGTACAGTCTATCTCTTGTGTGAATGTTTACCTGTACTCCTGTTTGAATTTATCAACAATTTTAATGGCCCATTGAGACATGGGTGAAAAACAGCTTTTAAAACTATGTTTTATGATATATATATATATATATATAGCAAAATTTAACGAGATAAGCCTAGTGAGTATGCAGTGGGGCCATAGTTGCTAACAGCTGTATTTCTTGCTTTTTCTCTCACTATTTTGGTTTTGCTACTTATTGAGACATAAAGATTTAAAGAGAAGGTTGAGTTCAGGGAAGAGGTGAAAACAAATTTGTGACCATTTTTTGTGAGCGTTATCATTGTATTATGCAAGTGTGAAGAACTTCAGATAAAAAATGTTTCCTGAAAAGCATGGCTCTTCAAATGCCTTAATATTCTAAATATGGTATATAACATCATAAAAATCGGGACAGATTTTTATGCCACATGTTTGTGTAGTCCCATATACATCTTTCTGTGTACAGTGCTTGTAACTTTACCAAGAATGGGCCAAATTTCTTATCATTTTGATGATTCCAGAACCTTGCAGTACACACCAATTCTTATATGCTAGATGATCAACCTTTTCTGATCGTTGTAACAACATTTCTTTCACAATGCAATCACATGACCAGAACTCAACTTTATCTTTAAAGGTTTTGAGCAGTCCGGAAAGCGTATTCTAGGGAAGTCCTATTATAATGAAGCCCAAGAGTCTATGCAAACACTTCATAATATGCAGATTGCAAACAGTATTGATATACCCAAAAAAAAATTGAGAGCTGTATTTTATCATTGAAAACTCCTTGGTTTTTCATCAAAACCATTGGCTGTGCATGTATAAATAGATATTGGCTCACAGACTGTTACCTATGATTTTCTCTCTCAACATATATATTTCTCTCTTTCTTTATCTGTCTCACTCTCTCTCTCTTTCTTTCTTCCTTTCTTCCTTTATCTCTCTTCCTTTCTCCTTCTCTCTCTGTCTCTCTCTCTCACTCTCTCTATCTATTTCTCTCTATCTCTATCTCTGTCTCTATCTCTTTCTTTCTCCCTATCTCTATCTATCTCCTTCTCATTATTTCCCTCCCCTCCCCTCCCCTCCCCACATACTCTATCCCACTGTACAGACTGCATTACATGGCATTACCAGACAGCTGGCTGAGCTTGGATCTAAGGTCTTACAGCTACAAGCTTTCATTGACAGAGTGCAGTCCCATCCAATGAGCTACTGCACACCTAAGAAAGCACACCGTCCGTCTATCTCTTCAGAGAAAGAGCTAGAGTCGCCAAAAGGTAAGACAGGGTCCGCACAAATTTTGCTCGATGTCAACATTCTTGTTAATAATGCTATGTCAGTAACATGTTTGCATACACAAACAAGTTCTGGGTTTAGCTGAATGTAGTTTGTTTCATCTAGGCTGAAGGCTTAAGTGAAAAAGACACTGAAATTTAGAATTTTGAGATAATTGTATTTAAACAGACATGACTTTACCTGTTCTAGGAATGTGAGTATGTCTTGGTCTACACCTAACAGTAGTCAAAAACCTGGCCTTGGACATGGTTGTTCTGAGTCTTTGTGTCTCACTTGATGAAAACATATCTCTGGTTTGTAGAATCCCTACCAATTTTAAAAGGTTCCATGGTCTGGGTGCGGAGGTTCTCACAAGCAAAACATGGATTGAGCAAAACTCTTTTAAAACCTTCAGTGTCAACAGCAAAGTATTGATTTTCTGCATATCTTCATCTTTCATTGGATCTTTGAATTGCATAACACCTTTTCCTAGATCAAGTAATTCCCATGGACTTCAACAGTGGAAGTATGGCTTTGAACATCACATATTTACTGGGAAAAGCCCTGTTGCCCATAACGTAATCAACACGACCACTTGGCATCAAACTTCCTGTTACCTGGGTGTGAAATACACAAAGGGAGTCATCAAGCAATTTGAGCAAACTTGCGTATTGAATTTATTTTTTGCAGATATAGCATAGCTATTACCACTTCCTTGGTTTTAATGTTTCTTGTTTATGTTTACTGGTTTAGGTCTGACAGTGATGGATATTGCAAATTTATATTTGAATCTTCCACGATTATTATGAAAGAGAGAAAAAGCATGAGCAAGCTGTAATAATAATAATAATAATAATAATAATAGCTCACATTTATTACTTGTTTCTAGGCGCAGCACATATTATTACCCTGGTTGTCGAATTTAGGCTTACCCATAACACAATGTATGCACATTTTCCACTCCCTGGGGAGGATTCCAGCCAGTCGCCATTTTACAAGCGCCACTTGCTAATCCAACCACATTAACTTTCGTATCCTACCGGGTACCCATCTAACACCTGGGTGGAGAGTGGCTATTGTATATCAATGTAGCATTCTTTGACCTATAACCTATTATTAAAGCTTATGGGAATAAAAGAGTTAAGTAGTCAATGAACTAAATATTTGTTTTCAATAAGCCCTTGACCAAATGTTATTTATTTCCACTCTTGACCCAATGTCCTCTGCCTAGTAGAAGTAGCCAATGGAGCCCAGGCTGGCTCAAGACTCCCATCAGTTACAGACTCTGAATCAGGGCTGGGCAGAACCCGGTCTCTCCCTGATCTTCTCAAAGATACCAGGGACCAGGATGCTGCGGAGACGAAGCACTTCAACTGCCAGACCTACGAGGCATTCGCTGACGGCCTGGCCAAAGTTCTTCAGGATTTCAGAAGCTCTCTCATAGAGGAGGAAAAGAAGGTTGTAGCTCAAGGTATGAAGTGGAATCTAAGAAATAGTTCTACCAGTAATCTGCATTCACATGTGATACATCTGGGGGGCGTTTCGCAAAGCCTTTTTTTCAATGATGACAAAAATCAGTAAAAAATCTGCTGATAACTAATCAGAAGCAAGTTTTTCAGTAGCTTATAACAAAAACTGTCATTTGTCACTGATGACGAGTTTTGTGAAACGCTCCCCAGTTGTGTGTTTTATGCAAGATGACAATAACATGGTTCAAAATGACAATGACATGTTGTATACAATTGAATAGGCCGTTTTTGTAATTTAATCAAATTTTTGTTAGGGCCTCCTTACAAATTATATCATTCACCTGTTACAAATAATTGTATTTCAATAGACAGAATGTGAAATGCACACATTACGTGTTGTTAGGTAGGACAACATTATGGCTTCTCCTTCTTTATATATATTGTACACAAAGGACTGGCTCTTGTCAGCGTGGGTTCCTAGACTTCATCTGGCACACACCATGTACCAGCAGGGCACAGGAGGACCTTATTGGTTCATGCCATTCATAATACTTTCTCTTTCCTTCGTCTCTTTCAATCTTGCTCACTATCATCTCTATTCCTTTACTATTCTAGATGAGACCTACACACTCTGTATGTTCAAAGACTGGCTCTTGTCAGCGTGGGTTCCTAGACTTCATCTGGCACACACCATGTACAGGCAGGGCATAGGAGGACCCTCAAAAGAGCTTTCATCCCATCGGGTCTATTCGCTGCTTCATGTTCTTCACATGGCCATCAAAGAACATTTCTGTCTTGCTTTTCAGGACAATAAAGAGGTATGACTCCACGTTAAAAACTTGGTGCATTTGTATAGCCCATGTCAGAACCATGCAGCTTCTAAATGCCAAAAATTGTTCAGTATTGCTATATACTGTAGCATAAAACATAGTGTATACTTTTGAAAAAGCTTAGCTTTCTGGGACCCTCCCTTGTTGATATTTTCACGTGAGGATATTTCCACATATGGCTGTCTCCATTACTTTCAAATCTCTAAGTTTTGAAGCTTGAAATGACTTTCAAAGGTTGGAGGACATCGAAATATCAGTTGATTCCTGTTGATGTCACCAGGAAAAGAAAGGTAATGTGGAGGTATCGTATAAAAGAATGCAATTCTTTTGTGAGCATGTGCTGAGCCGAGGGGAAATTACATACCACTCTCTCTTGTTTTTTCAAAAAATTATAACTTTCTTATGTTTTGTCCTATTTCATTCAAACTCTCAACCAGCCTGCTTCTCTGATTTTTCTGCTGTTTTTTAATGTAGTTTGTCTGAGAAGGTTGGTTTTCTCTTTATACCTATTGGAAATATTAATGTTTGTGTTGATGTAGAGAAAGTGTTTCTAGTAGAAAGTAAAGCACCTGTAATCAGCAGCATTTACAGTTAAGACTCTTCAGATATGACATGGTAAACCCCCACCCCCTCCAATTTTTTTTTTTAATTACATAGTTTTTGAAGTGTAAATGATTGACAACTACATGCATGTAGGTTCTATGTATTCACTTTTTAAGGAAATATAAAGCATATTACACATTTTGTCATGAAAGAATGCAGCATTTTTGCTGTGTCATATCTGAACGATGATTTATAAGGGTGAATTACTTGTATGTTTCTTAATCCTATAGCTTGATCTGCTATGGCATCTATGGACAGTCACAACGGGGCCATACATCAGCTTCATCACTAAGTGGTTAAGATATGGAATCTTATCAGACCCTGCTCAAGAGTTTGCTATTCGCAGGTAAGAGGCCTCATCACAGTCATGTAATATCTATCATGTAGGCTGCTGCTGTGTGCAAAAATAAGTTCTTTCACAGTGTGTTTCTAACACAGAGATCATTGGGTTGGGGTTTTAGTGTAGTTGCATGAATTTTTTTGCTTTTCAAGTGAAATTTGTAAATTCCATTTTGATAACACAATCATTGTTATCATACATAGTGAGTAATGTGGTTTTGCAAATCCTTATGTAAAACAGTAATTCTGCTCTGTAAGAAAATGGAGGTTCAATTCAATTTTAATTCAGTTTATTTATTCACTGAGCTTACAATCAGCCGGTAGCTTTTGTACAGAAAGGCCATGTAATCAAAACATTTGATCTTGAAAAAGGTCTATTTTGAGATATTATGTTGGCTTTTGTATAGAAGAAAACAAAATTGTATGGGGGGAGGGGGGGGGGGGGTGTATGCAAGTATGGCAGTAATATCTCAGTCACACAGTCAGACCGATTTCATATCGACTCCAAACTGACCGTTTCTTGGTCATTTGTGGTCATGCTATTTATTGTTTGGTCAGTTGTTGGTCTGGTGACAACCTTGTTGGTATGACTGAGTTATAAATCTTGAACTATCTGAAGCTAAACCATACAAAAAAACAATTTTCTCTGTTGACACAGGAATCCAGAGATCCACATCAAAGCAGAAAGCTACTGGAAGAAGGCATTCAGCTTACAAACCTTACAAACGGATGACACAGATGGCGCCCTCCTCTCCGTACCAGCCAATAAGAAGGGAGAGCGGAGGTCGTCGGCCAAGAGAAGCGTGCCTAGTGCAGTACCTGAGTTTCTTCAGCCGGTCCTGTCACATATCCTGTTAGCAGGGAAGTCCATGGAGATCCTGGAAGCAACAGGCAAGCTGACAAGAGCAAGACAAGACGTGTTAGGAGGTGAGATGATTAAAACAGAATATTTACAATATTCATCAGATCTGGAGATAGTTCTATCAGTTTTGTATGTACTAGTTCTTTGAGACCCACACTACAAGCCTTGCAATTCAAGGCAGGTACCTTGGACAACTCGCCATGTTTTGAGTGGCTGTAAGCTTCCTGTATGAGATACAAGTACTGTTACTCCTTAGCCAAGGTACGCTCATGGTCATGACATTTGTAACCCCTTATTGGCACTTGCTACTTCTTGAGAGCCAGGGGAAGTATAGGTTTATAATTTAGACCAAATCATTCATAGCTTTCTTTCTTTTTCACCTCTTTCTTCTCTCTCTCTCTCTCTCTCTTTTCCTCACCTCTCCTCAAATACATGTAATTGCCTCTTCTCTCCTTTTCTAAGTCTCCCCTCTCTTTCCCCTTTTCTCCTCTCTCATCTCTCACATAATTGCTCCCGCTCTCATCCATTTCCATTTCTCTCTCTCTCTCTCTCTTTCACATGTTAATGACTTGCACCTTTATCATCTTTATCCATTGTTATTTTAACCATGCAGAGTTGTTCCAGATGTCCAACTGTATGAAACCAGGAGGGCATCAGACGTACACACAGGCCATGAGTGCAGACAATCAGTCAAGTAGTCGTCTTCCACGGTCCTCCGGCTCAGCAGGGGATGTAGCAGAGATGGTAGAGAGACAGCTCTCCCTGCGAGGGTACAATGATCCCCTGATTGCTAGTGGGATCAGCCATGTTGGTCTCAGACGGGATCATGCAGGGGATGACTTTGATCAGGTCAAAGAGGTGGAGAGAGACGCAGAGTGAGTACTTGTTGCATGCCCTGAACAAGGGTGTAGACAGTGAATGTGTATTTTAATAGATATACATTCTTACAGTATACCAATCACCAAAACACATTTTTGCTCTTGATGTAAAGGTGGTCCATGTTGCTGTATTGTAGACAGACTATGACCATGAAATATATTTTCTACAAAGAGATATTGCAGTTTAAATACACCCTCAGTGAATAATAATTGTAGGCTGTCAGAGCATATTCTATACATAAGAAATGGTGTAGATTTGAAACACATTTTCTTTCACATATCTATTTTTTTATTAAATATGTTGTTTTTCCAGTTTATCTAAGCCTTTGGAGTTGGTATTGTATCGAGACCTCTACCCTGGCATTGTGAGGAGGTGTCAGTCAGTATGCCGTCAACTTGCTGCTGTCCTCAAGAAAGACTTCAGCCTTCAAGACCATTTGCTTTCTATGAGAGTAAGTATCAATCATCGTCATCCCTAATAATAGCTTGCTCCAGTATGACGGGATAAACCGCTGGGTTTAATGCAGGTTTTTGTTTGTTTAAAGTATAATATGCTTCAAATCTTGTGTAAGTTATAACACAGAAATAAGGGAGTGTGTACCAGTGTATACTTTTGTTGTGCCCTCTCACTTTTTTCATCCCCACTTTCTATTCCTCTACATGTTGAAAATGTAAAAGTGCTGCAGTTTCATACGTCATGTGTGTATTAACCACGGTTAGTTTAGTGGTTCAGTCACCTAACTTTAGATTAATAGGTTGAGGATTCAAATCCATGCACTGTTTGCATGTATTATTAAACAGGGAAAACAGTTTGTCTAGTTATCTCTCAACCCAGATAATAATAATGATAATAGCTACATGATACTGCTCAACCAGGAGATTCTCAAAGTGCCTACAAAGTACTATCATTGCCATGCCTATAGACCAGCTGCCTTAAGGCAATAAAAGCTTTCCCATTTACTACACCTTGATGACGAGTGGCAAATATAAATTAGTGTCTTGCTAGAGGGCATAAGTGACACGGTGGGACTCAAACAGTGAACCCCAATATCCAGAGTCTGATGGCGTATCCACTAAACCATGTCACCTGTAGTGAATGGCTTGTATGCATTCCTTGTTACTTAAAATACTCTGTGTGAGTGTGTGACAATAATGGCTGCTGGAGCTGAAAGCCAGAGTCGAAAAACTTCTTATACGCTTTGAAAGCTCATAGATAATTGAGAAGAATTTGGTGCCATTTATTGTTATTAGAAATTATTTTATAATGATAGGTTCTTTTCTAGCACTCTTGGTGCTCCAGTGTTATATCCAGGTTATATCACTGGCTTTAGCATTCCTACTATTAACTGTAATAAAATGTTACAAGAGTTATTTTTGTCTTAAAAGTTAAAACAACATCTTGTTAACATAATTTTTTACTTATTTCTCCTTGTATCCTTTCTTGACAGCGTTTCTTTCTTCTCGAGGCTGGTGATGTGATGTATGATTTTTATTCTGAGCTCTTTGATAAGATACGTCGACATGAGTCTTGGCAGGATACACTCAATCTGAACTATCATCTGCAAGAGACGCTGAGTGTGAGGTACCCGGAGGAGGCAGCTAGGTAGGTATATCATTATCATCACTGTCTCTCTTTCTCTTTCTCTATCTATGTCTCTCTCCCGCCCTCGTCTTCCTTCATCACTTTCTAATATCAAACTTTCTATGAATTTCTCCATAGATTTATACATGTGCCTCGCTCTTTTCCTTCATATCACACTCACTCTCACCCCCCCCCCCTCTCTCTCTCTCTCTCTCTCTCTCTCTTCCATTATTGTGTAGCTTGACCTCATCCTCTCTTTCTCAATCCTTTTATTTACATCTTTCTCATTTCCCACCTACTGGTATACATTATCTAAATCTATTTTTATTTGATATAACATTCCGTAAAAGTTAACCTTTTAATGTTGTAACATTGATATGTGTTTCATGTGCTTTTATGGTAAACTGAATATAATTAACCCCATGGGCTGCCATTTTCAGCATCCTCAACAAACCATTCAATTCAATTCAATTCCATGTACAGTTTTGGTAAGCGCCCTCACCACTTTTGTCTCATATTTCTTTTATTTCAGTTGATACATAACTAGATACAAGGAATTTGAAGATAAAGTTGGGGTTTTTCTTAGGTGGAATATTTCATTGGTTGCTTTATGCGATTAGGACAAACTCCAGCACTATAGGAAGCCAGTTTCATTCATATTTGATCTCTCAATTTTTGTCACCAATAGGATAATGGTGAGTGTGGAGCCGGAGAGACTGACAGGAAAGATGGCAACACAACCAATCCATGCACTCGACTCTCTCACCTTACATTACAAGGTAAGAATCCCAATCTTTTGAATCTTAGAGGTGTCTTGGTCTAGTGGATAAGTCACAGGACTATGGATCACATGGCTCAGAGTTCAAGTCCTGCCGCGGCACTAATGTCCTTTGGCAAGACATTAATTTACATTTGCCATGTGTTAAATGGGTACCAGGTAGGATACAAATATTAATGTAGTTTGCTCAGCATTGTGAGCATCTGTATAATGGCACCTGATTGGAATGCTCCCCAGGGAGTAGAGAATGTGCATACATTATGCGGAATCCAATGACTGGGGTAATAGTATATCTGTAAATCGCGGAGAGACATCGTTGGTGTATTAAGCGCTATATAAACGTGGAATATTATTATCATTTATACTTTGTAACCATATACAATGATTGCTTGAATTTATACAGGTTCCATGGCCAGTAGACATTGTGATTCATCACCATGCCTTAGACGTCTACAATCAAGTATTCAGGTTTCTACTCCAAGTCAAGAGGGCTCAGTACTGCTTACAACAACTAAGGTTTCCAGGTGAGAATCTACCCAGGATCTGAAAAATGTTTTAATCCTAATATAATTTTCAGAAATCGACCAGATTTAATAGCGAATATTTTTTCAATACTTGGTAGCATTTATAGCAACAACTGCTGTGAAGCAAGTATTTGTAGGGCCTTTAGTTGAATGCAGTTACTTTTTAAATCCCCATTGCTATCCACTTAGTCTATTGCTGTGGATTACTGCCTCTTAGGCGAATGAGCCTCTGGGGATTCTTTCTTATTACTATTAAATATTTAGCGTCATCTATGTCTGGGAGACGAAAAGCGAACTGAATCGCTGTAACCGTCCAGTTTCATCTCCTAGTATAACTGATTGGGGGTGTACAGGTGAACCACTACACAGGGTTCCCATCTACTTTGAATACAAATGGTGCAGTTGGTGCTTAATGTGCAAACGTGGTGACTGTCCTCTACACAAGGCCTTCATTTAACATCCTATCCAAGGGACAGACTGTTATTAGTCATTGCAAGGGTCCTATTTGAACCCACAATATTCGGTTTTACAGGCAGACACTTAACCTACTGACCCAAATCGCCTCCTCTTACTTAATATATTGTTAAATGTCAGTTTGTCAGAAGCAGTCTTACTACCAGAACTCATGATTATATTTGGTCAATAGTAACTTTTTCTTTATAAGTAGCTCTCTCAACTTGTATGTGACTTCTTCTTTCTTGGTCAGATCTGTTGATTTCGGCGAACCTTGGACATCTCACGGAAGACAGTGACCATGAGAGGCTTCACAGAGGTCAAGCTGACGAGACGCTGAGAGAGAAGTTACCTCTGATCCATCGTCTGTTCATCCTACGCTTCCGACTACTGCACTTTGTGAATGCAGTGCATAACTACCTCATGACAAGAGTAAGTCTTCATCAGTAATCAATCTGGCAGAAACTGCCTGATTGGGGATGTACCTCAACTTTGTCAATTTTACTATCCCCTCCTCTATCCCTAAGATAATCTCCTGTGATGACTATTTATTTCCTTTGAAACATGTTTATAAACTTATTAAGTTTATAGATGAATGAAATCTGTTTTCGGACCATGTTAAATAATAATGAGGGGGGGGGGGGAATTGTTATTTCTGCTATACTGTAATGATTTTCTTCTCTTTCCATTTCTCTTTCATCAACTTTATATATGTTATGTCTTAACAAAGTAAATTACATATATTCTAAAGGTGCCCATGCATCGTAAGAGCGAATAGGTCTTGAAACAAATGTAGAAAAATATCACAAATCCAACAGAGAGGGCAAGAAAGAAGGAAAGATTTGCTGAGATAATATACATGAATCATGAATCCCTCTCCCCCCCCCCCAAAAAAAAAATAATAATAATAATAATAATAATAATAATTTAGCCATGCATCAATGTTGAGCTTTGTCATAAGATGTTCATGTTTAACTAATGTTGCCTTTGCCTGCAGATCCTCTACAGCACAAGTCTAGAGTTCTCCGCTGCTATAGACCAAGCCTTGGACCTGGACCAGATCCTGGCTGCTCACAAGTCTTACCTGGCCAAGATATCCGAGAGATGTCTGCTTCATCACAAGGTCAGCTTCGTCAGGGAAGCCGTCTCTAAGGTCCTCAACCTGGCAATCACCTTTCAGAGACGATGGGATGCTGGGGTACATACCTTCAGGTAAGACTGGGCTCTTATGTAATGTCTCCACCACCCACGGAGAGGGAGGTGGAGGAGGAGGTGGGGTGGGGTAAAGATGGGATGCCGGAGTACATACTTTCAGGTAAGACTGGGCTCTTTTGCAATGTCTCCACCACCTATGGAAGGGGAGAGGGGGGGGGGGGGGGACTAAAGGCATTTTGAGATGTCTGTTTCATCACAAGGTCAGCTTCGTCAGGGAAGTCGTCTCTAAGGTCCTCAACCTTGCAATCACCTTCCAGAGACGCTGGGATGCTGGGGTACATACCTTCAGGTAAGAATGGGCTCTTTTTTAATGTCTCCACTACCTACGCAAGGGGAGGTGGGCCGGGGGGTAAAGGAGGGATGCTGGGGTACATACTTTCAGGTAAGAATGGGTTCTTTTGTAATGTCTCCATCACGTATGGAAGGGGAGGAGGGTGGGGGAGGGGCTAATGGCATTATGTTTTAGGGTTGTCCATCCATCCGTCCCCCTTTCTCATTACTATGTGCTACGTCAAGCACCATATGAGGTATGAAGATCAGACTTGGAGTTGGTATGTATCATCATGAGGAGACAAACTGATCAGATTTTTGAGTATTTATAGATCAGAGGTCATAGAGGGAGCCCCATCACAAAATTTCAAGACTGATTTGAGCCTTGAAATTAGATGAAGTGAGCGAGAGGCATGTAGGAGCCGTAGGCGCATTCTGTTTGGGGTTTGTTTTGTTTTATTTATTGTTCCCTTTCAGTTTTAAAACTATACATTGTTTTCTAATGGGATTCAGATTTCAGTATCTGCACAGGTCTTCAAGTAAAGCAGGCCAGTCACTCTTTTTTATTTCTGCTGTATTATTTGGTTTGTTATCTTGACCATATAAAAAAGCAAATATTATTTTAATATTCACAACTAACCCGGCTGCTAAATCGCTGTGATTTGACAATTTTTAGATTTACAATTTGATCATTTAAAATCATCATGAGAATTAATTTTGCAACTAATCAATCTGAACTTTATTCCTCGTATGTTTTTCCCTGCATATGATCACATAATCAAATTAGATTATAAACCCATTACGTGAATTGCTGTCTGTTCTTTTTCTCTTTAGCATTGAAAACGTGGCCAAGGCTGAAGAAGAGTTCTTCAATTGCAACGAGTTTCTCTCTACTCTACTCGCTAACATCATCAGAAGAGGCACCTTTCCACATTGTGAGTATATTTTGTTTCCCATGTTGAAGGTGGGGGAAATTAACACAGAATACCCTATTTACACACAAGTAACCCTGACTTTTACCTTGACCCTAACCTTAACCCTGATACATTCCACATGATGATGCATAGTGGGGCATTCTGCAGTTAAACCGAGGTGTAGGATTAACTAGTATCGTAACACACTTTGTACCAAATTTTATTTTTCAGCAAGTGCATACAAACTTTACGCATAGCTTATTTTCTAATGTCTTATGCTTTGTATCACTTCCCGCTTAATCACATGTGGTATAAATGGGATGTGCTCTGGTACAAAGCTTTTATTTGATTATTAATCAGGATTTTTAATGTGTAGACGACTACTCTCTCTCAAATTTTTGATTTTGAAATTTTATGTCATTTGACCAGTTACTGTAATATTTTGTTGGTATATAGTGGAGACTTTGGCACTTATTGCTCTCTGGTTCTTAAAGAAAAGGTTGAGTTCTGGGGAGAGGTGAAAAATAATTTGTGAGCGTTATCATTGTTATTATGCAAGTGTGGAAGAACATCAGAGAAAAATTGTTCCCTGAAAAGCATGGCTCTTCAAATGCCTCCATATTCTAAAAATGACAAGCAACAGTTTAAAATGAGGCCCAATTTTTATGCCACAGGTTTGTGTAATCCCATATACATCTTTCTGTGTACAGTGCTTGTTACTTTTCCAAGACTGGGCCAAATTTCTTATTATCTTGATGACTCCAGAACCTTGCAGTACACACCAATACTTACATGCTACGTGATCATTTTTTTTTATAGATTCCACACCGTTTCTTTCACAAGGCAATCGCCTGACCAGAACTCAACTTTATCTTTGAGAAAAATATATGTAAATTATTAATCATAACTTTCATTGAGTGCAGGATAACTTCATCAAATATTCTTTGCAGAGTTGTGTTGTTTTTTTGGGGTTACATTATTTAACCTGATATTGTTGTTTTGTTTATGTTTGCATACAGTGGAGGCTTTGGCGCTGTCTCTGTCTGGTCCAAAACCAAAGGCCAAATCTGGAGACCAAGATGAGAGATGAGAACCCACTGGAGGTTAGAGATGCATTCCAGATGGTGTAACCATCAAAACATTCTTGGAAACTGTTGAAAACAGAGAGACTGGAACATGTTGTGGAGGCTAGAGATGTGTTTCAGATGTTGAAACCATCGAATCATTCTTGGAAACTGTTGAAAGATTGGAACATGTTGTGGAGGTTAGAGACTCGTTTTAGATGGTGTAACCATCAAAGTATTCTTGGCAACTGTTGAAAACAGAGAGACTAGCACATGTCATGGAGGCTTTTTGAACCATCTCTTTCCGACTCTAAACAAGAGGAGAAGCCTAAAAAAACGAAGACCAGAGATGAATATCTATTGAAGACTAATGAAACCATCAAACCATTTTTGGAAACAGAGACCAGAGACATCCAAGCATGAAGGCTCTGGCTCTATCTCACTCTGGTTTTAGACCAAGAAACTAGTTGAAAGACAAATATAAGCGGAGTATTTTGATAATATTATTTACCACTGACTATTTTTCATCAAAAGGGCCGCTTTTTGGAAGCCCCCTCTAAATTAGGAGCTACAAATTTGTATTTAAAAAAAAAAACCTGAAATATTGTTTATAAACAAGGCGTGTGCTTAGTTTATGAAGTAGTGGCAACCAAACCTTTAATACTGGAGAACAGAACTATAAGAGGGTTAGAAATTGCAGATGAGACATCGTACATAGAACTTTCCAAAAGCTGCTGATATTCACAGTTGAGAAGCATCTGAAGTTCTCACTTGTTTTTCTACAGACAATTGGACATAATGTCGAAAAAGGATTTGAAATCTATACTTTTTCAAGGTCCAATAGTTATTTTACCACACTGTATGGGCAGGTCCTGTGGCAGTGAAGTAAATATAAACTTGTGAATCTTTTTTGTTTTAATTGCAAGACCAGGATTTGTTGTGGCAGGACAAACTCAAGATATCTGTTCATGTTTTGGAAAGGTATATCTTACCCCAACCCTATCTGTATATCTTTGACAAAACATAGTTAAGAGCAATTATCACCAGACAAAATGTCTACAGCACTGAATTGCTCTGAAGAATTGCTGAATACCTGTGTTTTATGATTTTGTTTTAGAGATTACAATGAAGTATAAAGATTTCTATTTGTGCTAAATATTATTTGTACACAAATTATATAATAAATTAAAACAAAATTATAATAAGCAAGCAATTTGTGTAGTTGATAGTAAGAAGGTTGTAAATTTGATATGCAATATCACTGGAATGGAACAATTAAGTGATTAACAGATGTTATGGTTGCTGTGTAGGCCTTAAAACATTCTCTATGAACATTTACTTAAATCAATACAGTTCCACCAAACTGACAAATATGTATTGCATGTGAAATAATTTAGTTGTTATGACTCTGCTAACCGAGGATGGTGAAGGAGATATTAGGGACTTTTAGATTTGCACGTCGCCATACTGGACTTCTACATCCTTTTAAGGCATTGGCAGCGCCTTAAAAGGATGTGACACGTAGCAGTCCATCATGTCGATGTGCAAATCTAAAAGTTCCTATTATGTTTTTGTGTTGTGTGTCCATCCGTCCATACATCTCGCTTTTTCATGATATCTCAAGAAGCAGGAGAGATCTTGGGTTTTAAATTTGGTGATAGTACGTATCATCATTGGAAGACAATCTGATTAGATTTTAGGGCAAGTAAAACAAAGGTCAAAAGTCTTTGAGGTCTCTTCTTTATTTTAAATTAGAGGTACTACCGTCATTATCACAGTATGTCAAGAACTTCTTGAGGTATGAGCTTTAAACATGGCGACTATTATTACTATAGGAAGATAATCCAATTAAATGTTGGGGCTAGTAGGTCAAGATCATATTCATCAGTTGATATTCGATTAGAGGCTTTTTGTCTTCATTGTGATATGTCACAAATAAATTTCATCTATTTCCTATACTGAATGTAGGGTGGAGGCATATAGAAGATGCAGTCCCATTTGTCTTTTATAACAAAAAATAAATGTTGTTATATTATACATTCTGTGATCAGTGTCATTGTTTTTGTTTTTTTTCTCTCTCTCTCTCTCTCTCTCTCGTTATTGCATTCATGTGTACACAAAGTTTACAAAGATACAATAATGACATAATCTCTTACATAAACGTAAACATTTTAATATTTCCTGGGTTAAGAAAGTTTTTGAGCCCTTGGAAACAACATTGAGATATCATTTCTGTATATTTCTCACTCTATTAATAGTAGAGTTTTACTACCATAAGACAGATATGTTAGCTTAAAGTTGTGACTTGGCACTACAAAACCACCCAAAAGTTACCAGTAGGCCAGTTTTTTTAAGGCCAAAAAAAGAAAGAGGTTTCTAAAATCGCAAATTACGATGGAAGTCGCTTGGCAATCACACCAAAAACTCTTGCCCCAAAATGCTCCTATGAAGGTGGGATTTTTAACTTTGCATGAAATATGTGGGTAAGTTCCTTACATCTGTTGCTCATTACACAGTACATCAGCGTTTCATGGATGTTCCCATCCTCAAAACAAGACATTCATTATCAGTTAAAGTATACAAAGTTCTTGATCTTAAGCAATATTGCAATTCTAAATCAAAATCAGACACAGGTCCTCTTTCCAAAGGGATAAGCAACATATAGGAACATTTGTTAACTGGAAAGATATTCCCTTCTAATAAAATAATGATAATATTCAGTTGGAGGTGGCGAGATATAGAGTAAATGAAAAGATGATAAGGTGTTGATGAATATCGTAGTGGTAGAAAATATAAACTAATTGAATGGATCAACTTCATTTCAGGACTTTTTTTTACCAAACTAAAAACTTTATACAGAACAAAGAAATAAATCATATCATCTATAAATTTTCATGATAACAATAACTTTTTTTATTACAAAAATTAGATTGTATCAGGGCATAATCTTAAGATTCAAGAAATACTAACATGGCATAACATGCTTTAAAAAAAACATTGTTAGGCTTTATATGTATATCTGTACATCATTCAGAATTTGGACCCAGCATCTCTCGTACATATGGAATCCAGGGAAACCTTTGCTAAGCCCTATTGGAAAAAAACAAAAACAGCACCTGAGTGGATTGGTAAACCTGCAGTTTAAGGGACACACTGTACTAATGTTCTCTTCATCTTTGTTTCGCGTTGCATCATCATAAAACTGGAAATCACTCTCTAGCTTCGATGATAGTACCTTTAAATTCATCACTCCTATCGCTATGCCAACAGGCAAGCTCTGCTGAATGTCCTCCCAGTTTACAAACAAACACGGGTATAGCGCCCCCACTTTGTGACACGATGGTGCAAGCTGCTGCTATCTTTGTCTTGATGCCCCCTGTCACATCGTGGTCTAGCTGCTCGGTTGCTATGATGGTTGCTATGCTGCCATCTTGTTTTACCTGTATTCTGGGAATAAGCTTGGCTTTGGGGTTGAGTGGAGGCTTTGTGAAAATGCCCTGTACGTCCGAGAGGAAGACAACTCTCTTGGGCTTGAAGAATTCACACAATACCTGAAATATTAAAATAACAGAAGATGATAATGGAAACACACTTTACTCTTTTGATGAATTGGTTTAGTGTGAGAAATTATGACATTACCCTTACAAAAAAATACATCAAAATTCTTCAAATTTTCAGTGAATAATAACTTTCCTAACTGTTAAAGACAGATATGACGAATTCAAATAGGTGTTCTCTACAAATATATTCATTATTCAGATTTGTGTGAGAACAGTGAGAAATGTAACAAATTATTTTTCTGAATATTCTGAGACAAATTACCAAAAAAAACACCTTACTACATGTCCATGGCAAAATGTTTAATGCTATTTTTAGAGTTACATATTACTGACAATGGTTACAAAAATAATGTTATTCCATCACACCTTATACTCACCTGCATGATCGTGTCTCCACTGAGTATTGTACATCCAAGCTCTTCATCCAACACACAGTCACCATGTAACACAGGTAAGAAACCGGCCTGTAATAGTTCATTGACCCCCTCGCAATCACTTGACACCACTTGACCTCTTCCCCTTGTTTTCCATCTACCACAGGGCTAGTATTAAAAATTGAAGAAAAACAATCTTACATTTTATTTTTCATCACAATTATAGTTAGTATACTTATATTTTTTATAGGGGAAAGTTAGAAGAAACTTTGAATGCTGGTAATGGAACTACAGGTATTTAAAATATTTTGATATCATTGCCCCCCACATTTGGAACAAAATATTTGTTAGAGCTTACTTTTTTTTCCTTTTTTTAAATACCTCTACACTTTATTTATTCACAGCATTCATGAAGACGTGTAAAGGGTATCAAAAACTTGAAAATCAGGAAAAAGGATATCAAATTCACTGGCAATAAAATAGATACAATAAATAGATGAAAATTCTGTAATGTGTTCCAAATCAAATTTCCTTTCTTTGACTTCCTTTTTGGCTTTAGAAAAAAGTTTAAAAAGAATGAGTATTCCTTGCATAGGGTGTAATATACCATGCAAGATATCAAATCCCTGTTAAACAGGTTATAATAGTTTAGCAAAACTACTCTAGACTTTGATCCTCGTTTATGGTGCTTTTCAGAAATTGATTTATACGGATGATGTACAGAGCTCAATGAAAAATACCCCCCCCCCTTCCCCCAGGGAGTTAATACTCACAGCTATTCCAACTGCTTTCACTCCTTTCTCTACCAGAGCCTGCACTACCATATGATTCAACTGCAAATACATAAAAATTAAAAATTAAAAAAGCAGGTTACTACTCAAAATGGTATATGCATTTATCATGATATTTTTTTTTATTGCATTACTTGTAGGTGCTTGTCACCTGCATGTGTACATGGAGGGCTTCTTCTAAACAGTTTACATTGTAACTTTGTGGCATACACTCATGTTCTTGATAACAATTACAGGACAATTAATGGATCCTAAGACGAATCCCCCTCCCCACCCCCCCCCCCCCCCCCCCTCCAATCCAGGACGTCTGGGGACATAAAGGCCGAAAATTGTGACTTCTTAACTAAGACACGTCCCTGTTATTCATCTCCCCCCCCCCCCCCCTTCCTCCATCTACAAAAGTATCACTGTTAATACATTTAACTTGAGAGACCCACACTTCAAACACTGTGATCTCTTCTTGGACACACTCCTATGAATTCTTGAAAATGAGTGATAGTTGTACTTAACATGCTTTGTTTCACTGTGTTTATATGAAGATATATATTTTAGTCAAGCCTTGAATTTGACTCTCTTGATTCATGACAATATGATCTACATGTATTTTTTTTTAGGGGTGGACTCATTCAAAATGAATGTAATCTCCTTGCTCCCAGACTGATTGCATGTCACATGAATTAAATCTGTAACAAAATGGTAATAAAGAAAAATACCTTTGTAACAGAGATCCTTGTTTTGCAGAAGCCTTCTTTAACTATAGTCTGTTCATCTGGTGACAGAGAAGTGTATCCTTTAGCAACACCATATTCACTGGCTTGGAAATGACCAAATGATCTGCAAAATGATGGGAATCTTGATTAGATTTAGGGTTAGCAGGTCAAAGAATAAAGGATATATTATATCATGCAATCCCACATGGAACGTACATTCACATTTTAAGCCGGGGGTGGTATATTCAAGTATAGTTTCTTGAAACCGAGTGGGCCCTACTAGTAGACCAACTAGATCAAAATCAACGACATCTGAAAACTAGATCCTACTAGATCTAGATCTAGAAAATCTAGTAGATCTAGATCTAGTCTAGACTAAAACTTTAAAAGTCTGTTAATTGTCAACAAATCTCAAAGAGGACAAGTCATTGCTTTACTTGAGCACTGATTTTCGTAAATTACAATTTGTGACAATTTAACATACTTTTTTGTTCAATAACATCAAAACACATCACAGCCTGCAAAAAAAAACAGAACTCAGCTCAGAAGCGTCTCTTCTTTGGGTAGTCAGGCCCGGCCCCCCCCACTCAGTGTTATTTAGGGTACGCATATGCGTGTTCCAACCGACCCCCCCCTTTTCAGCAAAAGTCTGGTGTGTAAAGTCAATACGGCTCGACCTTTTTCTTTTGTATACGAGCCTTTTTCCGCACCCCCCCTTTTCAGCAAAAGTCCGGTGTGTAAAGTCAATACGGCTCGACCTTTTTCTTTTGTTACGAAAAGGACATTTTGGCAACACGCATGCGGTCATTTTGAAACCTGAGTGGGGGGGCCGGGTAGTCAGGTCGTACGCTACTACGCCGGAGCGCTGGTGCGGCGAGCTTTGTACATATACCTACCCAGCTCCATGTACAAGAATGCACTTCCCCTTCAGTCTGCTCAAAAGTTCGGCTGTTTTCACGATATTTTCAGGGTTTGCCGTCTCTAGTTCAGTTTTATTAGTGATCACACTACCTCCAACCTTGATGATACATTCTATTTTCTGCTCCATAATATTAATTAAAGTTAAAAATGAAAAGTTGATTGATGTTGTAAACTTGTAGCTGACGACAAAATGTTCTATGGTATCCTTTAGCTAACAAAACAAAAAGGAAACACACTTGGCTCAGCTCAGCTAGCTAGCTGCAACGAGCGCGAGTTGATAACCAAGCCGCCTTACGCGACATCCGCGAGCTCCTCGACGTGACTAGACCTACTCGAGTGCAGAACTTCGCTCTGGCCTGGCTGAATGTTAGAAGGGCTGGCGAACTACAATGGCATTTTTACAACGATTCCGTTCAATTCTTCCTGTTTCAGTCAGAACAGTCGGGATCAGATATTGTTCGTCAGGTAAAAAGAGTTCTTCTTCCAAACATACTGTAGTCTAGGCCTCATTAGGCAGATGCAGTAGTTTAACTTCTAATGTCAAATATGAGGCAATTGCCAATAATGGCAACATTCCAGAGAGTGAGAGAGTACGAGTGAGTAAGGCAGTAAATCAGTATTCCACTTCACAGTTTCAGAGTGTGATGCAAAAGAGATTAATGCTTAAAATTCAAGGTTTCAATATATATTTTGACCAGAATTGCCGTAATACAGTTTAAGTTATAGACCTACCGTAGACTAGATCTAGACTAGACCTAGATCTAGATATCATGCAAATATTCTTTGGGATTTTCATTTTATTTTTAGGTTTAAATCCAAGGGAAGACCTCCCTGATTTTAATGTGATTTTAAATAACTTGGAAGTTAGAAGCAGAAAAACATAAAATTGTGTAAACTTTCACTGTCTTTGTTGTTGATGATGTTTGATACATAATGGTCTACAGGGATTGTATAGTCTAGACAAATATTATTTGCAAATTTGATTATAGACTATTCGGGGAGAATCAGGGTGCATGTTACTTGTCATGCTTGTTCGACCAAAACTGTATTTAGTCTCTGAAATCGGCAGTTGTTCCGCTCAGACTAAATCTGGCTTCACTGATTAAAAAGTGATCGCTTCTTTACAGAGACTGAAGTACATCGTTCGGGTTAGTGAGTGGAGGTTAAGCAATATACCATATAGTTTGTGTGTGTTTGCAGATCTCATCGTGCCCAGTTTTTATAAGAAAATGGACAGATTAGCTGATAGTATATATTTTAATGTTTTACAATGATATTGGATGTTACTTTGATAGTTATTAGTATGAAAATTAGATCTATTTTCTTTTCAAGCATATATTTTCTTAACCATCATAACTGTTAATTCTAGATAAAGAAAAAAATGGCTAGTTAACCCCTGCTTCTCTTAAAACCAACTTGATATCAATGCGGGTGGACTTCCCATTTAAAGTTAGACCCCAATTTATTAATTTTAATTCATTTTGGTCTAGGGTTTCTCTTTATTTATTGATATTTTGTTCTTATATTCATGACAGGTTCTCCAAGTACTGTAGATGTAGAGAGAGAAGATAAGATATGCCTCATAGGGATCAATCGACCTGAGGTCAGGAATTCTGTTAACCCTGAGACGGCCAAACAGCTTCAGGTTGCATTCTGTCGATTTGAGGAGGATCCAGACCTTAGTGTGGGAATCGTGTATGGGAAAGGTATTATGAATCACTTGTGTATTAACCATTGAACTATGAGTTTGTCATCATGAGGGCATTGAAGAAATTTGTGGATATGCTCTTTGGTGTCATGGACTCACATAGAGTTTACTCTGGTGTCAGTTGCTGGACCAAACCAAACTTCACCTAGACCAAACTCTGTAATACCTAACCCTAACCCTAAACCTAACCCTAAACCTAATTTGAAACCCAATTGTAATCTCAACGCTAACCCTATATCTTTGACAAATTAAAGCCCTGATCATAATGTCACCAAAGCATAATTATGTTGGAGCACCTCACAGACGCCTGCACCTTCAGAAAAAGTGGGCATGTACCAATCTAGGATACCTGTATCCACCTTCTGGAAATTAAACTTTACAGGAATTAGTAACTTACCTTAAGCCCATCTGTACTTGTGTAAAAGAGGGATTAGACCACCCTGCAAGGTCACATGACAAGTGGTTATCTCATCAAATCAGCTCTCAATTAACATAAGAAAAAGAGGATCATGGGGGACAAATGGTCACCAATTAGGCATAGTTGCTATAGAGAGGGCGCAAGTAGCTATAAGTAGAGCAGTGGGGCTTTAACATATGGTTTTCACTCTGGAGGAAGTTGCCTTTGTGGCGCAGTTGTCCCGAAGTTCTCATGCCGACATAGTTTTCAAATACCGTTAGGAAATACGTTGGTGGACTTTTAGATAGTCTGTCTAATGACAGTTTCATTGGAATATACAGCGACCATTGTCTTTTGACTTTACCCATGTTATCACGGACTCAGTATGGACAATTTTTAAACTCCATATGAAGTAGAGATCAATGAGTATTCAGTAAAGGAACAATTTTCTTGTCAACATCTGCCAGAAATATTGAGAGTTTTCAATTTTGAATATGCAGCACAGCTGGGAAAGGGAGGGCCAAGGTATATTTGAATTAAAAGATTTTTTTTTTTTTTTGGGGGGGGGGTATTTGTTACCTACAGTAGTAGTAGTAATAGTAGTAGTAGTAGTAGATTTTTGTGTTATTATTATTTTAATTTGTAAAAACTTGAGTGTTCTGATGATATTGCTACTGTAATAACATTTGTTGTCTTTGTGTTATTTTTTTCAGGTGGAAACTTCTGTGCAGGATGGGATTTGAAAAATCTAGCAAAACAAGACCCAGCGACAATTGTTGATCAAATACAGCTAGGTCCTATGGTAAAGAAATTCTTGTACATAATTCAAAATAGGCGATGTCTTTCTTTTAATGGCCTGGCCACCATAGACCAAAAATTATGCTTCCTTTTGTGAATCTCTCTTTCCCTTCATTCCTTTTATTGAAACTTTTCCACTGCCATAGGGTTTGAATCACTCACAGTTTGGCTTTGTTTCTCCTATTTATGGACAAAGGAAGGACTTTTAATTTTTTTATACTCAAAATGCATAATACAAAATTAATACATATTTGTATCATAAAAAATGATTTGTATCATGAAATTATTGCTTTGTATTAAAACATTCTTAAGGACAATAGACGCGCACTACATGTAAAGAGGCCCAGACTTGTAATTCATTGTAATTAACACCAAACATTACCCTCAGGAGATAAAATGTTGAATGTTAAAACACATAATATCAAAGGTCACTGGTCAAGTTGAGCAGATGAAAATAGTAGATTTTTTACTTTCACTTCCATTTACAATATCTAAACCCAAGATAAATTTGTTTGTATCAATTGTAAATTAATGGTAAAATGGAAAAACATGTGTACAGTAGCTTGCTTCATTTTTGTGATTATGGTTTTCAAGATCTGTGTAAATCTTCCAGAATATTCAAGTTGTTTTTTTTTCCCTGCAGGGTCCTACTGCAATGCAGTTCAGTAAGCCAGTGATCGGAGCAATGAGCGGCTACGCCGTGGCAGGGGGATTGGAACTAGCTTTAATTTGTGACCTGAGAGTCGCAGAGAAAAGTTCTATCATGGGGGTCTTCAATAGGAGATTTGGTAAGTAATCAAGTACCCTCTTCATGACTGACAATTTTTAATGATGTAAGAATAGATTTGTCATATAAATAAGATAGGCCATTTTCGTGATGTAACCAAATTTATTTCTCACATGTTTGTGAAGTGCCTCAATGCAAATATCTTGCGGTTCAAATCCCTCTGCGGCACTGATGTCCTTTGACAAGACATTAATCTACATTTGTCACTCTCTACCCAGATGATGTTTAATGGGTACCCCGGTAGGAAGAAAATGCCAGAGTGCCTTATAAGGGCCACTTGGCTAATGCCTGGGTAATAAAAATACAGCACTTAGAAGCATTGGTTTTAGATGCTATATGAATATTACTAGCATTATTTTTATTTGTTATTATTGATTTCAACCAAATCAATGAATTTCTTTTCATGCATCATAGGTGTTCCCCTGATTGATGGTTGCACTGTAAGACTACCTAAGATAATTGGTCTATCCCGAGCCCTGGACCTAATCCTGACTGGTAGACCAGTGGATGCCGACGAGGCTCTCAGTATGGGGCTTGTGAACAGGGTCGTACCAGATGGACAAGGTATTAAACAACTTATCATTGAATTCAATTCAGTTCATTGCAGTTCAATGTCAATTTCGATTCATTTCAACTCGATGCAATTAAGTTTCAATTCAAGTTCAGTTTAAGTTCAGTTCAAGTTCAAAATCAATTTCAATGCAATATCAAAATCAAGTCAATTTCAAGTCAATTTTAAGGCAATTTAAAGGCAATTTCAAAATCAATTTCAGTTTAATTTCAATTCACTTTTAATTTAATTTTTTTTTAAATTTCAATTTCAACTCATTTCATTTCATTTTCTCTACTCTATTAAATTTAGTTGGTGCAATTCATTTCCAGTCTAAACAGTACCATTTTATTTTTGTTTATTTATTTATTTATTTTTTTCTCTGAATTTGCTTGCATTATTGATAGATTATTCTTAATAATAATAATAATAATAATAATAATAATAATAGCCTAATAGTCCACTCCAAATTTTATTAAACCGAAACGGAAATTCTTTTTGCCCAATTGATCGTGAGCCCGGCAGCCACTGAGCAGCGCCAGATCGACGTTGCTCTATCCCTTATTGTTGAACGCCAAACAAGGTAGCAACAACTCCCATCTTTTAACGTCTTTTGGTATGACGCGGCCAGGGTTCGAACCCACGACCTCCCGGTTGTGAGGCGGACGCTCTACCGACTGAGCCAACATGCCTAATAATCATTATTTGGTATGTGAATATAGAACTTAGCAATTACTTTGTCTATAATTTCAATCGTCAATCATATTGTATATATATTTAATGTTGACCAACAAGGGCCATTGTGGATTCTTTTTCTGTAACGGACAATGCTACCCCTTAAAAATAAACTACAAAGAAATAAATAGATAAATAAATAGATATAGTTCACTTGCCATGTTTCTCATTTGTTTCTCATTTGCTTTGATAGCCCTAAATGAAGCCAAGAAGCTTGCCAAGCTATTGACTACGTTCCCAGATCAGACAGCCATGCTAGGAGACAGACACTCCACACTACGCAATACATACGAGAGTCAGGGTTTCAAAGAGGCCATGAAGTATGAGTTTGAAAGAGGTGAGTTTATAAGCAGCTTAAAGGCATCTATAAACAATGTTTAATAAATCTTAGATGCATGGCTCTACGTGTTATCAGTGTCTGTGATATGGTATAATGAGCCCCAAAGTATTGCACTTCGAAATGATCATGAAGTGCCTCAAAAAAGTGCAAATCTTTGAGTGACCGATTTTACCATACTCATTTTCCCGAATAGACTGTAAAAAAAACGTTAGGAAAACGGTTTTGGAAATTTCAACTTCCATTCATGAATATCTTGATAATCTGACAGGCGATCGGCTTATAAAAGTCATGGGGTTCCTGACTAAGGCTAAAGGTTTATAATTATCATTGCAGCATGAGCTAAATCCAAGATTTGTTTAAGAATCTGAGGCAAAGATACCCAATCCCTTCAAGCACAACCCAATTTGATGAGATGTGTAGAGTCTAGTAGACAGCCGTTACCTCTCCTTCCCCAGAACAGTCGGCCATCTTGGTATGCATTGCACTGAAAAATATGATTTGTGCTTATGGTAGCTAGAATGTTTAAAATCAACCCAAAGGAAATTTTGCCTCGCATTCTATAGGTAAACAGATAAGCAGTATGAAGAAAATAAAGGATGACATTAAACCTCACGTATGCGGCTTGCCAAATGCCCGCCCTATTCAATGCCAGTGCATACCCCTGCATTAACTAGTCTACACAACAAGACATTTTACTCTTCATGTAGCCTATCACTGTCTCTTAAGTTTCTTTGGAAAGACTGACTTTCAGGTAACTACTTACGAATTTAACAATAGAGAGACATGGCAAAGTTTCAACAGAGCTCTTCTGTTACATAAAGCAAGAGCCTGTCGATAGGATTGATACCATGTTAATTGTAATTGTAATTGAAATAGTATTTTTGAAAAATGCACATGGCAGCCCTATGGCTGGATTACATAGAGTTTACAAAGTAAAATGACATATCGTTATGTATGTCGTAGTCATACAATCACACGAAGGACAGAGAAAACCAGAGAGAAAGAGAGATTGAAAGAGAGAGAAAAGACAGAAAGGAAAGAAAGAGAAACAACGATATTGAGGCATAGGTGTGACACTCTAGAGTAAGAGAAGATTGTAAATTTCATAATAATAATAATAATAAAGTCATTTTTATATAGCGCATAATAATAAGCGAGTTGATTGATTAACTAAATAATCATGTGTTCCAAGTATTGTTCACAGTGCATGTAGAAAAAGCTTAGAAATATAGGACATGTATTAAGTACAATGCAAATGTAACTATTATTATTTCACTCCCTATCTGCTCTCATCCTGTATCTCCCTACCCTTCCCCAAATCCATTCTGCAATCTGCTATGTGGATCAGGTGTTGGTGTTCTTGCCAAGGAGTCTGTGAGAGGAGCCGGACGATTCGCTGATGGCCAGGGAAGGAAAGGTTCCTATGATGACTTCAAGAGCAAATTATGAATTAACAAGTCACACTCTTGAATCAATCTTGTAAGTTTTGACCATTTCTATCTCTTTAAAAGGTAGTATCGGGGTGGTCCCGAAGGAATATAACCATGTAAACAGCGATAGGTTTGAATTTTGACTGTACAGTTTTGAAAGTCAGCTACAGTTTTGAATTTTGCTGTTAAGGTTTGAAAATCAGCTACAGTTTTGAATTTTGCTGTAAAGGTTTGAAAATCAGCTACAGTTTTGAATTTTGACTATACAGGTTTGAAAATCAGCTACAGTTTTGAATTTTGACTATAAAGGTTTGAAAATCAGCTACAGTTTTGAATTTTGACTATAAAGGTTTGAAAATCAGCTACAGTTTTGAATTTTGACTATAAAGGTTTGAAAATCAGCTACAGTTTTGAATTTTGCTATAAAGGTTTGAAAATCAGCTACGGTTTTGAATTTTGCTGTGAAGGTTTGAAAATCAGCAACAAGTTAATATTCCTTCTCATCCTGAATATTTCTTTATGAAAACATTGGTCCTAAAATTTGTTTTAAAATACTTCAAATGTGATTCAGATTGTACCAGAGTGCATCATGGAACCCTAGAGCCCTTGTGCAAGCCCTGGAGCCCGGCCACAAGGGACTCTGTGCTTTGCATACATCAGTTTATACTTATATTATAGATATATTCCAAGTTCCAATTTTGTAAAGGGCGTATAATAAAGTTGTGAATTTTTGAAAGTTCAAATTGGCCTATATCAATAATGACTCTGTGATGTTGTGCCAGACAACTTTCCCATTTGCTCTAACTACAGAAATTAATTAATCATAATATATGACTCAGGAGGATCTTTTCTGTTTAGAGGACCTATAGCCATTTTTTAGTACTGCCCTATATTAAGGAATAAGGGGAAAAAACAAAATTATGGATAATTTTGTGCCCGACAAACAGGAGGATTGTCTGCGGACTACGTCACATTCCACTGACAAAATTGCTAATTTGAGATTCGCATACCCGGTATAGCTATAGGGGTGTCATATTTCAAACATTCATAACTTTCTTACTATAAGTCCCATTTCGTTCAAACTTTTGCCATTCTGTTTCTCTTATTTTTCTGCTTTCATACAAATGAACTCATTACAAGATTGGATTGCCCTTTAAAGTAACTCTATATGCCTTCAAGTTAGTGAGCTTCAAGTGTATTTCAATTATCATTTTCTTCTCATGAGTGTAAATGTCTTTTGAAAAGTACCGGTATGTAATACAGATAACAGCATCAAGCATGTGGTATGAAATGTGTGATTTTTATGGGAATATTTAGCATATGTTTGTAAATTACCTGCCCAGTCAAAGTTAATTTGTTCAACATCTCATACCACGTAGGTCACACTCATACAGTTAAACAATTCGCAACTGCTCTGAAAATATATCCATGTAATCGATAAATTTATGTTTGTAGTAAGTCAATTACATTTTCCCGCAGCTTTCCTCCATGTTTTGCTCCTTTCTCATCTTCTCGTATGTGTTTTGAGACTGTTTTCTAAGGTATACTTCACTGTACAAGAATTGTTCTATTAATATCAAGCTTAAATTGTGCAAGGTTACTAAAAGTAGTGATCAAAACCACCACAGAGGGCGCTGCTCTGCTCATAGTGAATAAATCTTGTGTGCTTGAACCAAGGTGATCTTGCATGTTATGTTTGCCACAAGGTCACCCTTAGACATGTTATCAATGAATATAGGTCCCATGAGGGAACAGATCAAAGTAGAGGTCAAATTAAGTAGTGGTCAAGTTACATGTAGCCGTCAAAGCATTGATCAGTGCTCTGCAGATCACAATGTTTAAGCAAGGTCATGGATGTGGTGAAAATGTTCTTCTATTGTCCGGTCACAAACATGATATTGATTTCATTAGAATCCGTAGAAGGGTCAGCCCTTGGTCATACAATGGTCCAGCGTATGTGGCTATTGATAAAAGACAAACGATTTCATTAATGGAGGTGTAGGGTCAAAGGGTTGACCAAAATAAAGATAGAATGAGGATGAAGATTTAATCAATTGTAATTTTTTCTGATTGACAAACTTTTTAAAGAAAGCTTAGCATTCATCAAACTCTGTGTAGGTATGATAAAACTTCAATTATTAACTGTAATTGAATCTCTCTGTCTATGTTTACCCCCCTCCTTTTTTTGTTATCTTGCTCTCTTTCTCTCTTTCTCTCTCTCTCTCTCTCTCTCACCCCTCACCCTCACTCTCCGTTTCCCCTCTCACCCTCACTCTCTCATATTGCACCTGTTCTTCCTCTTTTCCTTTTTTTCTCTTCTTCATTTTCCTCTCTATATATCGCCATCTTTCTCTCATACAGGGGTGTATGCTCTGTTTTCTTCTCTTTCTTTTCATTCTTACCTTCTCTTCACCATCCCAAGGTCTCTCTCTCTCTCTCTCTCTCTCTCTCTCTCTCTTTCATGCTCTCTCTTTCACTCTCTCTCCCTCTTTCACTCTCTCCCTCCCTCTCTCGCTCTCTCTCTCTCTTTCTCTCTTTCTCTCCCTCAAAGTATAACCACACAAACATTTTTTTCTTGCTTTCTCCCAGTTAATTACATTTCTTTCTCTTCAAAGTCATTTGGGAATTGTTGATCAATATGTATATATATATATATCAGAGTCTGTCATACTCCAATTTGAGATTCTTTACTATCCTTGGAGAATAGCAAATACTGATTTTTCTTTTTCTTTCTATCTGATTGATTTTCAAGATAATGTGAATTACAACCCACATGCATCAATGCCAGGAGTTATGAATTAAATCAAACAATTGATTCCTGCTCGTTGATGGATGAAATTGAAAATCTAATTCAATTTCACTAATTTCATTATCTCTCTGCATAGCAACAACTGAATTTTCAATGCTACTGAGAACAAAAATATTGATTGGTATGCAAACAGCATGAGACAGCCCTGATTTTATGAGAGTATATTTCCCAGAATATCTGTCTTTAATTGCCACCAATATTTATTCAGCTCCTTTGTTTTTTAAATTTGTTGAACAGATTTTTTGGGGGGTGCAAAATCCATCTAAATTTGTTGGAGGAATTAATGCTGAAGAGTTCAAATGTAGGCTGTTTTTGTTTTCTTTTATGTCTATTAAGCTCTATCTAAACTCCATGTTTCAATTTTCTTTTTCAATTTCATTCAGTATCAAAGTAATATCTCCATTTAGATCTTATCATGGATCTAATAATCATGAAAAGATTTGTTTATTTACATGTACAGACTAATTTACATTACTGGTATATATGCAACTGTTTCAGTGGAAAAATTACACACCATAGAAGGGAAAATTAAATTTTTACTTTGGACATCATGCTGCCAATAAAGTATTTTAATACTTTTAATTAAGCATTATGGTGAATATAATTATGATGGACACAACTCTTTATACTGAGCATTACGCATGACTAATGACTGCAAGTGTTTTAGTGGAAAACCTACCACTAAGGCACTATACACTGGAAAAAGTGAAAATTTTACTTTTAACATCATCCTCCAAATAAATATTTTGTTGATTAAAGGTAATACAAAGTTTTGGTATGAGGTCATAAATTTGGTTCAAATGAACATATTGGAAGCATATGCGATCTTACAATATTCAGTGATCGTTGTCGTGGTTGAAATCGAGTCTAAAGTTATGACATTGTAAATAAAAACTCTTTAAGTTGTATAGCTCCCTCTCAAGGTCAAGATATTAATTAAGCTATAGAACAATGTTAGCTATTCCCGTTTGGAAATTATATATCACAACTACATATTCTGAGATTTTCATGGTCGCAGCTACCATTGTACGGCCGTAGGCGCTATTTGAAATTTATCAAAATTTACCAAAGCACCGTTTAATGTTTATATTTAATTTTTCTCGAAAGCAGAAATGTTTTAGGGGCTAAATTTTCTAATGCTTAGTAAAAAAAAAACAGGGGCATCAAAATAAATCAAATTTGTGAAGAATCACTATCCGCCCAATTTTCAAAATTTCCCAAAACTTTGTATTACCTTTAAGATCTAACAGTTTGCTGTAATTAGCCATTTTTGTAATGTAACCAACTTTGTGCATGTGCCTTAATAAAGCGCCTTGATTAAAAAACAAATTCTATCACCTGTTACAAATAATTGTATCTCAATAAGTCAGAAATCAGAATCAGAAGGTAGGACAAACATGACTTACCCCACCTAGCAACACATAATATATGCAATTTGCATTCTGAATATTGAAATACAATTAATTGTAACAGGTTAATATATAATAGTTAGTAACCAGTCATTTTACAAAGATTTGTGAAATAAATTTAATTAAGTTTGATAACATTAGGAATATGGTCTATTCAGAGCAATCAGAGTCTGTTGATATCACTTGACTCTCAGCCGTAAGGGCATTAAACTCATTTCATTGTATCTCACCTTGAAGCCCTTCCTCCGACCTGGCTCCAAGCACAACATGTAATGAGTCACAAAAGTAGCACCCTGTCTCAGTAGGTATGTCTTCATCAGCTCGAGATTGCCAAATATCCAACTTTTAGACTTGGGATATTATCCCGAAGCTCGACATTGCGTCTTCACCAGACCGATATGCTCATCACAAACTAGCTCGGACGGGCGCAAATTAGCCCGCTATTTCCCAAATAGCGGGATATTTTGGAAACAAGACTAAGATTGCTCTGGACATTTTCTCTACTAAATTTCTTGCTAATTGCATCTGTGGGCTGATGAAGACGCAAATTAGCTCAACAATTTACGATCGGGATAGTTAAAATAGCGGGTTATTTGGCAAACTCGAGCTGATGAGGACAGGCCTCATGTCTCAGAGTCTGGTGTGTCTGGATAATTTGGAGGTTTTACTTGTCAGTGTCTGGGTAACTTCCATGCTACCTTATTACTGCTTTTCTTGACACATTACATATCACTCGTTGAAGCAAGCTGTTAGCCAGGCAACATTGCTAACATTTCTGACATTTCTCTCTTATTCATGAAGACAAGGATTGATGAGTTTTATGTCTGGGGCACGTAGGGTGATAAACTTCTTAATTATTCAAGTGGATGTATGACGGCCTATTGGATGGGGCTGCATTAGGATGTTGTATTATTGAGGAAGATTACCAGGCCAACCCTAATCAACCTCAAAGGTGTTTAGTAGTTGGAATTAGACAAGAATGTAACAATGGTGGCAACATGTAGAATACAAACACCATGTGAAATAGCTCTCAATTAATTTTTTCAGAGAGGGGGAAGTTGGTCCCGTATTTAATCTTTCTGTCTCACTCTTTCTCTCTCCACCTCTCATTGTCTTTAACTCTCTCTCTCTCTCTCTCTCTCTCTTTCTCTTTCCTCTCTCTCTCTCTCTCTCTCTCTCTCTCTCTTCACCTCTCATTAACTGTTTGTTCTCTCTCTCTCTCTCTTTGTATTTCTCTTTGCCATTGACTAAGTTATTTTACCTTAGCTGCTGTCCATTCTTTTATTTCTGTAATTGTGGTATTAAAAAAAAACAATAATAATAATATATTGTAATATTCTCATATCTTCAATACAGGAGTGATTATGTTTTCTTTCATAATTACATGCACATTCAAGTACAAATGACAAAATGTAATAGATATTCATTTCGATGTTGGTGGAGGTATATTTGAGATGCATTCACACATTTTTTTTCTTTCTACTTTCTGTTCCTTTTTCCTCCTAAATCCAGGTTCATTTGCACCATAGCAGCTCCCAATCTGGACAAATTTAACTTTAACGTGACCCCAATGTAATATGACCCAACCTCACAATAAAAGGTGACCTTTTGATGAACAGGTCAGTGACCTTTGAAAGGTAAGGTCAATGACAATAATGTGGAAGCACTCCACCACATATTCTGGACAAGACAGATAATCACAGATGCAAGGCTGGACATGTTGAAGATTGATCATTAGTTCATTATATTCTTGGAAGATTTGCAAGACCTCGCTTGGGATGTCATGGGTGATCATTTCCAGATCTTTGAAACTAAATCATGTACAGGGTGACAGCTAATGTTCTTGTAGAGTTCTTATCATTGAACATGGTGGCGGAGTAGTTTATACTTCTTGATGCTCCTCATTCTTAAAAGTTTGCAACAAACTTACACACGTTTTCAGCGGAATATTACACATATTTATAAATACAAAACATTACAGTGTCAGTAATAACTTGCATCATTTCTTTATAAGCTATACAAGCGATTTTTAAAAAAGTTAGAAGTATAGGTATTTTGATTATTATCATTGTCCAATGAAAGAACAACAATTCAAAGTTAAAAATAAACTGAGTTTAATCAAAATATTTGCTTGGTTTAACTTTATGAAGATGGTTCCTTCTAATTAAATCAACTTCTGTTTCAGTTTGCACTTGAGAACCTTAGAGTTCAGTCTACAAAAGAAAGTGTGTAGACATTTTACAAACTGACCTCTGTAGAATTATTTAGCGAGTGCTAATGCAGAGACAGTTTCTGGGTACTTCAGTCCCACCCTATTTCCTCCCGTGTCACCGAGGTGTCCAGTAATTACAGTTTGTAATAATGTGAGCAAGTATTAAGGGAGATTTACTTCCTCAGTCAAGTGTAGATCATTATATGTGTTTAGCTTTCTGGTCTACTGAATGTATCGACTCAATGCCTTCTTCATTTTGTCTGTCTAGAACAAAAAAAGAAATTTTGTGTTAATGATCATGATTGACACTGATCATATGGAATCATATTTCTTTTCAAAGTGCAATTAAAGGTTTATTGGCTCCTTTATGAAATTTTGCTGGTAGCAACACATGTTTTATAAAAGGGGGATTTCGGCATGACTTGATGATTCCTTCAGTTACTGGTTCAAAATGGCGTACCAGAAAAGTGCAAACCCCGTTTTTGTTAAACATATATATGTTTATGTTTAAAATGATTTAAGAAATATGATCTGTTAGGAGCAGAAAGGATATTAATTCCATAACACAGAGTCAGGTCATGCATATTGGCTCCAAACAGACGATAGGTATCATCACAATTGGAAAGAGTAGAGCAAAATTGATGATGTGGTATCATATCAATATGTCTAGATATAAGAAAAGTTGGACATAGACCCTTCTAGTTTTCAGCAGATGATTTGATGTGGAGGTTAGTTAGACACAGGAAAGTTCTGAGTCTGTCTGAAAGTAACTGACTGGAAAGGCTCTATGGCAACATGGTTATAATTGGGATTTGTAAGAGATCGTATTGGTAATTACAGGTTTAAGTATATTGAAAAGATGCTAAAATGCGAGTATATTTGCAAGAATTTTACTGAAAACAGAATGAGGTGAAGTAAATTATTTTTCTTGATCCAGCTTGTAATTACAAATTTTCATGATTATAAATCTATATACTTGTAGTGACAAGAGTACAATTATTATGGACATGTGTAAGTACTGTACTAGTTTAAGAATGTTGAAAGTTGAAAACATATATAGGAATTCAGTGAAATCAGGGAGGCTGATTTCATAAAGTCTATGCCTGAACCTTGTAAATGCAGCTCATAATTTCACCATGAATTTATTGATATCTATTTTTTAATGAGTTCTTACTGGTAGTTTTAATTGGAAAACGCAACTACTACTACAACAACTTCATAAGTTTCTCTATATTTTGTATATTATCTTTATACTGTTTAAGATATTATATTTATTTATCTGTATTCATCTTTATATTATCTACCTCCCTCCTTTTCTTCTAAATCTAAAGATAAATATTTCATCCCCTTGAATATTTTAGTGGAAGAGAGCACAGATGAAAGTAAAAATGGTATTGAAAAACATATAGTTATGAATGCATGTAATAGGAGCAGCATTTTTCAATAAATATTGGAAATTTCATGCACTCAAACATGCCAAATGTTTCCACTGAAATAATAATAGTAATTAATTCTTTATGAAAAGATATATATTAATATTTGAATAATTTTTTATTTTGTTTTTTTTTTTTTTTTTTTTTTTTTTTTGTGTTTGTTGTTTTTTTTTTTTTTTTTTTTTTGGGGGGGGGGGGGGGCGGGTTTTAAACACGGAATGACGGGTTGAAATTTACCACCATGGTATGTAACACAGCGCTGTGTGATGAGTTAGTGGATGGAAACAATTTGCTCATTTTTAGCTGCATTGCTGTCGGCTGTACTGCCTGTACAGTACAGAATGATATTATATAATAGGTGAGCTTTATTTTTGAAGGCTACCTTAATCACTCAGCATATACTGTCTGCTGTCTAAAGTGATTTAAGTAACACTCCCAAGAACAAATCTTGTCCTTGTTTGTGGTTTGGGGCCAAATTTCCCTCAACCTGCACTGTTCTTATATTTATACCATTCAGTATTAATTTGTTGTATTATATTTCTAGGTTATAAATACAAATCATTGTTGATAATGAAGACAAAAAGAATTTTATCCAGATGTTTAGTTTTTTCTTCTGATAATTATCACCACAATTTTTTGGCCCATCCCCATCTTGAAATTTTGTTCAAATTTTAGTAGATGCTAGTGGGAACAGTGGCATACATTCTTTTTTTATAAATCGTTTTATTGTGTTTTTTTTTTTACTTGATAGGAACATCATATATGTACATTTTGTGAGGGGTCACATCCAGCCCCCCCCCCCCAATGGCTGTATGCTGCTAAGTCAAACCAAACACTTTATTCTTATGCATGAGATTGAGATCCCACTTTCACAAAGTCAAACATTATTCTTTTACTCTACATGAATATATTTGCCATCATTACTTTTCTGAAATATACTTGTTATAAAGAATGTATGAATGCTGCATTGTTGCGCTGTTTTTATGATAAATTGTACGTTTTTTGTTTAAATCAATGGGATATATAATGTACGGACTTGTTATCATGTTATTTGTGTGGTATATTGAGCTAAGTGGCTTTGTTGTACAAGGGCATTACGAAAATCTTGAAATAAATCATGAAATGCTTCTTTAAAACTTGGAAACTTGGAGAATTTTGCTTCTGTGATTATTTAGTTATTATTTGTTCCTTTTAAGTGTTCCTACATCGCAATATTGTATGCTTGTCTTGATGAAAATAGTGTGTCTAATTCGAGAGCGTTTAGTTTGTCATGTCATGACATGCTCTATTATATTGTGTAGTACAATCCATTAGAGGTGACCCGACCTAAATTTTGTTGAATTTATTTTGTATGTTTTTATCGGAAGTCAAAAACACAAATCATAAAACACATGGATAACAAATATGTATTTTCATAATTATACAGTGCGTCCCAGAAAGAAAAAAAACGAAACTGAGAATTAACGATGTTTTCTTAATCACAATTATAATTAATAAATGACACATATTTGTAAAGCTTAGATCCTCCTCTTTCATTTGATGTAACTCATATGACAGTGGCGGATCCAGGGCCCGCCCCCCCCCCCCCCCCCCCCCGGGGGAAAAATGTGTATTTTTACATTTTTTAACATTAATTTTACCTTTTTTTTTAGATGCCCCCCCCCCCTGGCGCTCAAGGGGGGGGGGTGCAATTTTTCAAATTTTCGAGGACCAAAAAAAAAATAGTGCTCACTACCCCCCTAAAGACTTCATGCACTGTATACAATGGTTTCGGTACAGTTACATGAGAAATCATAAATAGGGTCTCTCCACATGTCTATCTACAATTTTGTTATAGAAAGAAAGAGGATAAATAGGCTTGGGTTTCCAACTTAAAAGACCATTTTCTTTTGTAATGTAAGTGTAACTTCGCATTCTTTCGTGCAATTGAAAATTCTTGTTTACCTTCAAGAAAGAAGGCTTGGAAGTTGAGATCAGATTTTTGAAATATCTCACTTGTCGATTTCAGTTTGTAAAAATTTGCCCATATTATGAACAGTTGCGATGGATCCAAACTTATCATAATTTGATATCAATCACAATTAAAGAGATATAAGGTTTGTGATTGATCGGAGGACTTAATACATCCAGATCAATTGCAACTCTTGATATCGCAAGGCCCAGAGTTTAACCTCAATAACAAGACAGTCGCTACGAATGAGAGCAACAAATTAAAATAACACGTAAGTAGGAATCTGGTAATTTAATCTGGGTTATAAGAACAAATTTTGAGATTTTCACTAATCTGTATTTACTACCAAAAATCTTTAGATGCTTAGTTATGTATTGTGTATAGGTAATATGAAGTTTTGTTTCATCTGAGAATATGAATCTTACTATCGTCGGTCATATTCTTTATACATGAGATGAAGATGAGTTTTGGATTTTTTTTTACTGGCACACACAATAACAAAGACTCTAAAGTGTAGAAACTCATCATCCTTGTCTAAGATTCCTTAGAGCCTGTTAAGGGGAAAAGAAAGACATAACTCGACCAAAGCAGTTTTTGTTTCCTAAATGCCTCGTTCAGCACGATGATGACGTGCGATCGAACAAACGTCATTACGAAAGAGTTTCATGACGAATATAAAAGTGCGTGTTTGTACTTCAGAACATCGACTTCAGATGATAAACATACGCATTGTTTCAGTTTTATAGGGTCGATATTCTGAAATGTGTTGTTTTGTAGTTCAAATGGATTTTATGGACCTTTATGGGCGTCTCGGTGCCAACCATACGATATACTTGACAGCCGAGACGTGGCTGAAATTCTTTTCTACATCACAACTCAGTCAGTTCGTGTTTGTTGGTCAGTTCTTAATGTTTCCTCCATTCTGTAAGGAAATTCTTTTGTTAAATTTAAAAAAGAAAAAGAAATGACACGAATCACCGAAGAAAATAAAAGCCTTCATAAATTGAACGTTGACGTTAATACGGGGAACGGGGGGGGGGGGGAGAGAAGAAGCTAGTTGGACAAGGAATGACCAGAAAAATATCCACCTCGATACGGGGGAGGCGCAACTGGTCCGTGCCACCGCCCCCCCCCCCTTGAATTCCAAGTGGCATACCTTTATAGTCTACAAGTTCCAAAATGTGCCCAAACCCCCATCCATTTTTAGGGGGTGGGGGGGGGGGGCTCTTGTCTGGAAATTGGGAGGGAAAAGGCAAGGCACTTGGCGAATGACGATCTTTTTTTCGCTTACGGTCGGCAAATTAATGTTAGGAATATTCTAATCCTGGATCCGCGTGCCTGCACCTTATTATATGCTTTACATGTATGGGTTAATCCTGCTGGTATAAATATTTTTCGTTTAAGGATTGGGGAAGATATTCCCTCCATATTCCAAGATTAAAGTTAGTCATACAACTGTATTATGTGGGTAAATTTATGGATCTATTCACCCAGTAATAATTTAGATGGTTGATAAAAAAATAAAATGCCGTATATAGGATATTGTGTGGTCCAAACAAAAGGAAAAATGAAAAAAACACTGAAAAGCCGAGGAATTAATAATGAAAGAACAGCGAAGACGAAGTTCATTATTCGATGATTAGTGTTTCCTACGCTAAATTAAGTTTGGAATACGCGGTCAAGGCTGGACTTCCAAGCGATTTTTATCAAACCATTCATCCAAACTGGTTTGCTATTTTTCCCCGGGTATTAACTTAATTGGGATCCATTATAACTCGTTTAATTTGCATTGTGTTGCTTTAACCGTCCATCACGACCTTTTTTGTTGA